ATCAGACAGCAGTGATCTGTGACAACAACATCAGACAGTAGTGATCTGTGACAACAACATCAGACATCAGTGATCTGTGACAACAACATCAGACAGCAGTGATCTGTGACAACAACAACAGACAGCAGTGATCTGTGACAACAACAACAGACATAGAACTGTGACAACAACATCAGACAGCAGTGATCTGTGACAACAACATCAGACATCAGTGATCTGTGACAACAACATCAAACAGCAGTGATCTGTGACAACCACAACAACAGACAGTGATCTGTGACAACAACATCAGACAGCAGTGATCTGTGACAACAACAACAGACAGTGAACTGTGACAACAACATCAGACAGCAGGGAACTGTGACAACAACATCAGACAGTAGTGAACTGTGACAACAACATCAGACAGCAGTGATCTGTGGCAACAACATCAGACATCAGTGATCTGTGACAACAATATCAGACAGCAGTGATCTGTGGCAACAACATCAGACATCAGTGATCTGTGACAACAACATCTGACAGCAGTGAACTGTGACAACAACATCAGACAGCAGTGATCTGTGACAAACAACATCAGACGTGGGCACATAACAAGGGACAATAAACCTGGGGTAAGTACCAACATATAACAAGGAACAATAAACCTGGGGTAAGTACCGACATATAACAAGGGACAATAAATCTGGGGTAAGTACCGACATATAACAAGGGACAATAAACCTGGGGTAAGTACCAACATATAACAAGGGACAATAAACCTGGGGTAAGTACCAACATATAACAAGGGACAATAAACCTGGGGTAAGTACCAACATATAACAAGGGACAATAAACCTAGGGTAAGTACCAACATATAACAAGGGACAATAAACCTGGGGTAAGTACCAACATATTACAAGGGACAATAAACCTGGGGTAAGTACCAATATATAACAAGGGACAATAAACCTGGGGTAAGTACCAACATATTACAAGGGACAATAAACCTGGGGTAAGTACTGACATATAACAAGGGACAATAAACCTGGGGTAAGTACCAACATATAACAAGGGACAATAAACCTGGGGTAAGTACTGACATATAACAAGGGACAATAAACCTGGTGTAAGTACTGACATATAACAAGGGACAATAAACCTGGGGTAAGTACTGACATATAACAAGGGACAATAAACCTGGGGTAATTACCAACATATAACAACAGACAATAAACCTGGGGTAAGTACTGACAGATAACAAGGGACAATAAACCTGGGGTAAGTACTGACATATACCAGAGAGAATATTTTATACAAGCCATGAAATACAACCATATTCTTCATCGACACAAAAGTGACATAAATAACTACATGATGTAGACTTGAATTCGAAAATTTTTAAAATGAAATATGATACTACATTTGTACTATTTACAAGTAATTCAGTAAAGCTGATATGCTTATTAGGTGCGATACATAGGACTCATTGTATTATATTATTAGATGTCCTCAAAAAAAATCTTTACTCTAAGTTATTTTAAAATCAAAACTTTGTGAAAACAAGAGTTCCTCGGAACTGTATGTGTCACCTGCATAAAATGTCATGATCACCCAGAAATTGACTTGGATGTCAAAACTAATCTGTACCCTTCCAACAGGAAGCCATATACCAAATTTCATTTCAACTCAAAGCATAACCAAATAAAGTCCAGAAAACAATATTCCCAGAGAATTTTCTGAGTTCAAAGGGACATAACTCTGCCAAGAAGGGTTACCAGCAGCCAGGAATCAAACTTAATCTGTACTCTTCCAACAAGAAGCCATATACCAAATATCATTTCAATAACTCAAAGGATAACCCAAAAAAGTCTGAAAAACAATATTCCCAGAGAATTTTCTAAGTTCAAAGGGGCATTACTCTGCCAAGAAAGGTCACAGACATTCGGAAATTGAACTTAATCTGTACCCTTCCAACAAGAAGACGTGTGACAAGGGACAAAGTGATCCCTAAGTATCCACCAGCTCTGCAGGCGACACAAAACAAGAAAGTAAAACTATAATTAGAAACTGCAATTCTATCTAAACCTTTCTCTTTCTTTTTAGATACATGTATTGAGGTTGACCATATTTTATCAGAATCTTATTACATTTGATTAAGTAATTAATAATGTTATTAAGTAAAATCCATTGAATAATCTGTATGTTAAGGTTTTTACTTAAAACATGCTACAAGAGTTACCTAAAAGCCATAATTATCAATCTATAATGCATCATATGGACAGGGTTGACATTCAACACTAAATCTATTAATTTTTTTTTGGACGAATATGTAAAAACATTAATTTTATTGGATTATGCTTGTTTGCTTATGATCTTCATCATACCCCAGCAGCATCTAAAGCAGCACAAAAGGCTTCAGCTTCTCCGTTACTATGGAGATATGGAATCCCAAGACAGTCTAGCATCCTACAACACTGAAAAACATATACCAGTAAAAAGTCAACATGGTCATGCAATCTAACAATACTGTTGTCTAGTGATAAAATAATTTTCAAGTAGTTTTCTAATATCCATTCATAGGCTTCAAAATCAAGACTGACAGGGTGTCTTGTAAGGGTTACAGGGAAAGCCTATTATAGTCAATTCCATAATTCTATGCATTTAGATTATGTTATTTTGAACATTGTAAGGGTCATCAGGGAATGCACATTATATTCAATTCCATATTCCTATGCATCTGGATTATGTTATTTTGAACATTGTAAGGGTCATTAGGGAATGCACATTATAGTCAATTACATAATTCTACGCATTTAGATTATGTTTTTTTTTATTTTGAACATTACTATTAGATCACAAAATTGCACTTTGATTTTTTTTAATACTGCTTAAAAGTAAATATATATAAAATAATTGAATACTAAATTGGTGATGCTTGGTGTGTATTGTGATTGAAACCTACGTGAATTAAATGAATAAGGTAAAAATCAGGTTGACCTGACAAGATGGCGACATCACATTTCACAATCAAGATATTTTCAAAATGCTTACAAACTATTGCTTATTACCCTTAACTGATAATAATGTACCTCTCGCAGACGAGCATTAAAGTTACGACGCCCTCCTTTGCCTGCACCTCCTCTAGGACCCCTGTAACCTTGACCTTTGCTATGAAATCTCTCCTGTTGTCGTTTGTTCATGGTATCTTTCTTCAAGTCTGGTGCTTCTCCTTCCACCACAAACACAAGATGTACTCCAAGTTGCAGCAGATGTAGGATTCGGAAAAAGAGATTTCTGAAATGGATTTATCGCAGCATATTGCACTTTTGTACTTCGGAACAACCCATTTATGGTAACGTTTCTGTTGAAGGAAATCAAATAATGTGTCTTGTTATCAAATGAAAAATTTTAACAAATGACATACCTTTTCTGTTCTTTAAAAGCAAATTTTGTAAATTAATCAATCTTCCTATTATTATTTATTAAATAGTATTATATCTTTATTCATCTTTCTATTCTGGATAAGACTTTTATTTCATTTTCAGTATTAACATGGTTATTACCAGTAAACACGACCAGCATTGCCTCTCAGAAAGTATGAATGCTAATGAACAAATGTTTTCTAGAGGATTTCTTCACCTGAGTTTGGAACAAAACTTCCAAAATCATTTATAAGGGATACAGGGTCCTCAAAATTAGGGCAAGCCCAACAGGAAAAGTGTGAGTTCAGGAGTCAAATTTCCAAGTGCTAAGAATTATTTCTTCATTTTGAAAAAAAAAAATAAAATAACTTAGCTTTGCCTTTGACTTAGCCTACATTTTGAGAGTTGTTGTAAAGTAGAAACTAATTTTTCTTCAACACCTAGCATAAATCTTATTTTTCACATCAATTTTGTTCATCTTTTACAATTTTGACATCCACATCCCTTTGCTTACCTGAGAAAAGGTTTAGACACAACTCCTTGCATCTGTTTGACACATTGTGTCTCACACACCCATATACTTAGGTCCACAGCTAAAAGCTGTCCTTTCAGTTCCGATAAGTCTTGATGTTGTTTCACAGGATCCAAAATCTGCCATAAATTTAACACGCCCATTTTGGCGAAGCTTCAACTTAAAAAACTGAAAAAGTAACAAAAATAACGCAAATTCAGTACTGAAATTTGAAACATTGTTTACAAAAAAAAAATCAAAAAAAAACATATGAGTTTGTCAGAATAATTTTGACATTCTACAAATTTTTATATACGGCTCGGAGGCGATAAAGAACAGACTTTTGGTCAATGCGCGATTTGTATGTCGAATTGATGATTTCTTTCCACAATTATAGTTTGAATGCCGACCCATAATGGCTAAGAACAAGTCACTTATTTCCCTCACTTTTAATAGGGACAGAGTTGTGACATCCATCGACTCCAACCCGATATGCATAAATCGATAGAAAGTCAGAATAATACCGTAATCCAACAATGTTTGAGGTTTTACACGGCCAGAAACTTCAGGAGTATGTTTTGAATATGGTTAGTTTTTCAACCTATTAAAAGAGGAAAGTGCTATTTCAGGCTTCAGTTATCAACAAAATGAAGATATATTTACCCACGGAATTCGATAAAAACATGTGACTTAATTTACAGTTTATATTTACTGATGTCTCCGTTATCTATATCTAATTAACGGATGACAATTACAATAACAATTAGTTAACTTCACAAAGGTCCCTACAGTCATGTATCAAAAGCTACTTTCTTTTTCAAATCTCGCGCCAACTTCCACACTCTCGTTTATACGATATATTTACCCATCACTATAAAATTAATTTTATTATAAATTCTATATGGTGTTTATTATATTGATACAAAACAATATATCTATACAAAAACATAATTTCATTTTGATAAACAGGATGTCAACAAAATCATGTGACTTTTTGCAGACGAATGTGCGCTGTAGCTTCCGCTTGTTCGCGCCAGATTTCAAACACCTGAAGGTTTACTCATTTTTAATGGGATAAATTAATTATGCCACTCTTAGGTAAGAAGATTTTCGTCAGTGCGAAGCCTCTGAAGGATATCCGATCAGATGAGAAAGTCTACACCGTCACACATTCTAAGGAACAGTTCCGATCACAGAAGTATCTTTTGTAACAATCACCTGTACGAACCAAGATGGCGGCGTACATTGAAATGAACAACACAATCACATAATTGACGGATTTCTGTAAAACTATTGAATGGATCACCAGGAAACTTTCCCATTATTTTTGTTGATAGGTTCTGATAATTTTGAAATCAGATTTTGGCAATAATATTATGCTTTAGTCAAGAAAAAACTTTACCGGCATTTTTGTCAGTTTTTCGATAAAAGCGTGTTTACGTCACTAAGGTGATCACGTGGGCCCGGGGGAGGGGACTCTGGGTGTTTTTTACACAATACCCAACAATATCCTTATGATAGAAATGCCAAAAATTGATCGAATTAAAGCGATCATTTTTCCATGATTTTGCCGCCATTTTCATTGTACTTGCACTGAAAGGTGGTCGCTCGGCCTAAAACGCATCTGGGTTTTCTAGCGCGTTGTTGCCTCTGAAGTTTGTCAATTTTATTTTGTTAATTTGAATTTCCAAATCTAAGCACTTATTCATCGGTTTAGATCAGAGACATTTGTGATATTTTTGAAAAAATAAGTTTAGTGAAGTGTACCCTATACTACATGCCCTACAGATGTAGGAGTATAAGGGGGAAAATGGAGACTTGTGTTTACAAGCAAATATTTAGAATGTAGATTATAAAACATTGATAACATCAACATGCTTTTTATTCAGCTTAAGTATTTACCCAAACTTACGAACAACTGTCTTTAATTATTTTCTTTCTATCAAAGAATTGTTAATCCCTAACACTTCTCAGAGAGTTTGATGAGCGATCTGCCTGGTATAACGAACGTATATGGACTTGTCGTGTTACTGGTCACACCAGTCTGACTCATCAGGAAGCCTGGAATTCTGAGAAAATCGTCTTCAAGTCTCTGAAGCAGCAGTTCCCGAGTTTTCACCATAAACCTGTTTTGGAACTTGTTCATCATAGTAAGTTCTTACATGTGTTACATGTCATTTTATTAGAGTTTTAAGGAAAATTTACATCAGCCTACATAAATAGTCGTATCTTATTTTGTTTTAAGCATTTTGCAATAATTATTCTATTTCACTATATATTGGCAGAAATCTACCATAAGGTGATAATCAATGATGCAGAAATGATACAGAAATTATCTTTGAAACTGAAAGCAGGACTTTAGCATTTAGAAACTGTTTTATTTAAAAGGTGCTATTTGTTTATTTGTAAATGTTTTATTCTGTGATATATTTATGTATGTCTGTTTCACAACCTAGTTGGATCATTTTCAATATTTATTAATTTTTCAGGTACCTTGACATTGGATACGCTTGTTGATCAAGCTTGGCTTTTACTACAACAGGTCCTGTCTGTTGGCGAAACAGTGACTCTGAAAGTCAAATCAGCAGGGAAATTGTAAGCTGTAGTTCATAACTCCAATAGCAAAAAATGACCAATTTATTTCACTGTCTTTTAAACAGCACTCTAATAAGTTTGCATACTGGTTGAATTGATAGAGGCAAACTGCGGTATTTGGTTGCCTGCTAAATATTGGTTTCTTTGGGGAACAATGAAAAACCAAAATTGATTTGAGAAGTGGCCAATACGGGACCAGAAATATATTTTGAAGTGGTTGATATTAAGCCCCATCAGAATAAAAAAAAATAATGGAAAGGAAAGGGGAGGGGGAAGACAATTTATCAACTCCCACCAACAGAAATCTTCACTCCCAGGATAAACTATTTTATTCAGTGATGAATAATATATCCAGACTCGTGTCATGTAATGTACAGGCTAGAATGGTGATCTGGTGTCTAAAATTGACCCTGGAATGGACATGTGGTGATAGATGATGTGACCATTCCACTTATCAAATGACCTTACCTGTCATCATTTATACTCTCCGTGTAATTTCAAGCAGTAACATACTTTAAGACATATTAATTCCATGTAAATGATCCATTTTAATAACAATCAAGATTAATTTTAAAAGAAATTGATTTTGAAAAATTTGTCTAATTTATGTTTCTGATTTTCAGGATAAAAGGTCACGTTATCAAAATCAACAAAGCTGGTATTGAAGTAAGTAAAATGCTGCAAACGAAATAGGAGTTTGATCAGATTGAAAATCTACTTCATTATTCAATAGAGAATTTATATATTGTATTGATTGAAAATATTTGAGGTGTCATCCCTGCCAGATATTGTGACAGCATTTTTTCTCCCATCCCCAACAATGTTATTAAAAAATAATTTGCTTTTCACTCGAATTCAAAATTTCGTGAGGAGGAGAAATCATGAAACAAATATGACAAAGAAATGATGTACAAATTTTCACTCACAGGCAAATCCTACAAGTAATTGTAACTCGCCTTCAAGTGACAAGGAAAATTCTGCGGAGGATAGTAACAGCTCGCCACAGAAATGGCTGCCTCCAAAGGTAATGTTTAGGAATGGATCTTGTAACTGGCACCGCTATTGTGGGAATTTTAGCATGTGCGGTAATTTGACAGCACTGCTTTCAGAATCAGAATTTACTTAAATTTTACATTAGAAATCAGCGATTTTACATGTTGTAATGAACAAGTTGATTTATGAACATTCACTGTTATATCTGATGAAGTTTGAAACTATGTTCCCATGCAGAGCAATTTCTTGGACGTCTGTCATCAGACAAAATTTAGTGTAAAGTCAATGTCAAGTAAACACAGATTGAACAACAAAACTGTTTAAGTTTCAATAGTGAGATTTTCAAACAATGTTGCAGGATAAATAGAATACATGGTCAGTATCTTAAAATATAAGCTATATTTTGGCTTGGAATAGAAAGACGAAAGTGGCAAGCCTGAAAATTCTGCTGATGTTTTAAAACACTGACCATGTATTCTTGTTATAGATGTACAGTTGAGTCCTGTGTGACTACCACCACTGCTAAAATTGGTGACTTTGACTATCAACAATTGGACTACAATCTAACAATCAGTAGGAAATTACTCAGACTTCAGACTTGTCAAGATTGTTGAAATCACACACACGAAGATAATAGAATCAAATTTATGTAGTCGTTGTGATTTGATGTAACCATCCTGATATGAAGATTTCTATGGTATTATCAATATGTCTTTGATATTCTTCTTTTAAGTTGCTGCCCTACAAGTACAGTCTGCGTTTAGAAGAAGAAGACAAAGTCATTAATGAAATTCCAGCTGTGGACATCGGGTAATACATGTAGTATTTCTGTGGTAAATCATAATATGATTTTCCAGTTATAAAACTTCATTGTTAGATTGAAAAAATCAGCATAAATTATTTGCCCTCTGAAAAATAATTAAATTAATTGGCTTCAGTGTGACATGGTGTCGCAGTTATCGGAATTTTTTGATGAGTCTTTTATATTGGGATCTTGAAAAGTTAAAGGAATTGCAAAGGAAAAGCATGAGTCCTGAACTTTATTATCTGAGTCCCAAAAATCACGTAATCTTTACTAATTAGGAACTATTTTTGCCCTTTTTTCACAGTCAAAAACAGACTGTCCTCCCTGGCCAAAAACTTTGCTGTTTTCCAATTTTAAAGGAAACTGAAATTTTATTTAAAGAAGCTGAAGTTAAATTTGTATACAAATTCTGTCTTATTTGATAGCTTTTTTAAATAACATCCTTATGAAACTCTGAGCGCCCTATTATATACGTTATTTTTTCTGTGTCTGTAGTCGACAGGAGAAAGTGCCGTCCAAAGAGTTACTAAGGTTTTTTATCCGAGCCAATGCCCTGAGGGTAGGGCAGAACCAGACAAGTCCATGGGTGGTGGATGAAATCCGGGTCAAAGAATTTGGTCTACCCAACAAATTTGCTCACTTCTTGCTCTCTCCTATCAAAGTAAGTATTCCATGAAAGCAAAACAACCTAGTCACTGTGTGTATGTGGAGGTCATCTGGAGTATTTGTTCTCCATTTTGTTTATGTTTACATCTGTTGAGATTCCTTAAAATTCATTGTTTATTTTGTTCTTAATTCTAAACTGAAACCAAAAGTATGGAAACCTGTATGCTCATTTCGGTATCCTAGAAACCAATTTTTCTATTTAGCATGGGTCAGATCTCGGCTGACTACGTATTGGAATACAATTTCTATTTTTACTATTTTTTATTGGGGTGTGAAGATTTTATGTGAATTTGTTTTGCTCTTGGTGGACAACTAGGTGAATCATCAAAATAAAAAATGTAAAGAGACAAACTGTGTTCAGTTGCACAATGTTATTACTGCTTTTCCGTTTAGAATCCAAGATCTAAAATCCGGACATTCAGGTGTAATTTTAAAGTATTTTCTGATAATTTACAGACAGCAGAAATGAACAACAAAGTTGAGAGTGAACCTGTTTCTAAAAAACGAAAACTCTCCTTACAACCTGGTTCAGCCTCAAAGAAGGCAAAGATTGACAAGGTCAACAGTGCAAAGAAAAACAAAGACAATGATAAAACAAAACAGACAAAGTTAACTGGATCATCTCTTAAAAAGTCCTCATCGGTGACAAAATTGAAAATCAGTGACAAAACTTCTCCTAAAAAGTCGCCTAAAAAGTACAAGACTCCTGAAATAATAGAATTAGCCACAGACTCTAGCAGTGACGAGGATTGTCCTCTGGCAAAGCTCCAAATTTCACCAACAAAAAACAAATCTCCAACAAAAAAATCATCACCGAAAAAAGAAATGAAGACATCATCATCACAAAAGAAGGACACCAAAAAATCATCTAAAAAGGAAAAGGACAAGAAAAAAGCTCCGAAGAAAACCAAAAAATCTCAACTGGACAAGAAAAAAACAAACGACAGCAAAAGTACCCCAAATAAAAGGAAGGTCATTGATTTGGATAGTGACGATGATCAGCCGTTGTCAAAGCTGAAACAGTCTCCTAAAAAGGTATGTACTGTCTACTGCATCACTAAATATTGCATCTTTCAATTTTACTTACAGCAAATCAGTAAGATTTGGTGTAGATTTTTTTTTTATTTGGCAAGGAAAATCTTTTTGTGAAGTACTGATTTAGGACTTGGGACTCGCTTTAAGATCTATCAATGTATTTTGTGATACATTGATATGACTGTAAAAAATGAATCCATGAGTAATGAGACAATGTATATTAGATGTCTTTTTACATCCCAAATTTATAGGTTATTATGATATTATTTGATTGCTCTAAAAAAAAATGTAGACATGCGAAACTTTTCAGCTATATAGAATTTGTAGTTATGAAAATGTAGACATGCGAAACTTTTCAGCTGTATAGTATTTGTAGTTTTCATCTAATATGAGCATGATTACTTGTAGTTTTCAACACACTCTTGTTGATCAGATGTCTTCAGTTGTGAAGTTATGTAGGTTCTGTGTTATAGTTGTGTCATGTCAGGTCACCTGTAGTTTACCCATGCTGTCAGTTGTTTTGAAAGGTCAGTTTGTCTGTCTGTCACTGTATTAACATACAACTTAATTTGTAATCAATTAATGAGTAGTTGATATTGCCATATTCTCCCTTTCCCATATCAGTTTTAACAGAAAAAAACAGATATAATAGCTGTGATACAGGCTTTAATATCGTGCCATTTTCGTATTTTGAAAAAAAAATAGTTTTATTTTTCTGTGTTATCATTTTTCAACAGAGTATGAAGCAGATGACACTCTTTGAAATGTCAAAAAAGAAAGGATTGAAAACTCCAGAAAAGAAAAGGTCAACGTGCAATAACAGCAACACACCAGATAAAGGAGCAAAGACGCCAGACCGAAAGAAAGTGATGTCACCACCAAGGACTCCTGCTATAGTGTCCAAGATGGTTCGAGCTCACAAGATGGAGGACCAGGCCAAGTTTAAATTGTTTGTACAACAGGCCGCTAAAATTCTCACTTCACCACAGAGGAAACGTTTACCACCGCAGATCAAGGAAAGTGTGGAACGCAAATATGAGCTCCTTGCTGAAAAAAAGAAATTGTAAGTTTTTCTTTACTTGTTGAAGCAATTTCAGTTGTGTATTCTTCAGAAAAATAATTTTTGTGTTGTGGTGTACACCCCCTCAAATTTTTGTTTTTAGTTGCAGGGTACCATTGTGATATAAAATAAAATCTGTTTACTCACCCTCATGGGGTCCTGAATAGTACTTAATTGTCAATTTTGGTTAATCAACAGTATCAAAACATACAAATTTTGTGAAGGAACAGGAAAAATAAATATTTACAACAATATTGGGATAATGATGTAAACGATCTCTGTAAAATGGTTCCCATTATCATATGAATATTTGGTAATCTGTTTCATGCAACTTTAATCAACATCAGGAATTATTCTTTATCAAAGAAAATTCATATGTTTTTCCCAGGAGCCGCATGACACCCGAACAAAGAGAAGCTTATATGAAGGAAAAGCAGGAAAATTTGAAACGAAAACGTGATGAAAGGAAACAGGAGATGAAGGAGAAAAACAAAGAAAGATTGAGAGAGTTAAAAAAGGTTAGAACATTTTTTAATGAAAACAGAAATATTGAAGTATCTTATTTCAGATTTATGATATTAGTTTATTCAATCAGAAAGTTACTTTTCTTGTGTTTGATAACAAATTATTTGCATAACTTGTAAAAATGTTTGAAATATTGCAGAAATATGAAGATCAAACCCTGACAGGGAAGCCACTTCCTGCTCCTAAACTTGTTCCTACTCCTGATGGATTTCCTAATGAGATGTTTGGTGATGTGGCTTTGGTTGCCGAGTTCATCAGCTGTTACTCTGGCTTACTGATGCCAGATGAAAATTACCCCATACGCACTGGTAAGGTTTAAAGCAGTTTCTGTCAGATGGAAATTACCCCATACGCACTGGTAAGGTTTAAAGCAGTTTCTGTCAGATGGAAATTACCCCATATGCACTGGTTATGTTCAAAGCAGCTCGAGTCTGATGAAAACTGATGATAAGTCAATAAAGTTATACCATTGGGCGCATTTAGTTTAATGATAACACATAAAATATTGTTACTGAAACTGATTATGAATATAATTTATTCCTTCATTTATTTATGTCTGTTTCAGATGCACTGATGAAAGCCTTGTCCAGTGGAAATGAAGGGTTCACCTATCTGTCGCGTGCCTTAGTGGTTCTTCTTCAGACTCTATTGCAGGATGAAATTGCAGAGGTATACTTCCTCAGTCACAGTTTAAAATCTTCCTGTTGGTGATGTTGGGATTTCGTTTTAGTCAACTTCAGTCCAACTTGTTTAATATTAGTCTGACGACAGAATGTTTAATATTAGTCTGACGACAGAATCATGAAAAACTTCAAATATTGTATAGCCAGTTACTTTCGCAGGGTTGATATTTGTGTTGTTTCGCAGTACATTTATAAGGTGACAAAAAATTAATCTGTTTCAATAATAAGAAGTGTGTATTAAAGGTTCTTATATATCAACATCACAGAATTTTAGTTCATTCAAATATGATTTTATCATTTCAATAGAAAAATCGCTGAAAACATTTTACACATGAAAATTTCCAGCTATACAGTACACCAAGATGGTCTGAATAGTGATTGTTATCAGTCTTTGATATCAAATAAAGTGATTATTTTTTCAGGTTATGTGAAAGTAACTGTGTGAGAAACACTGTAGACAACTGGTAAAAAATTTATTTATTGATGATAAACTTTAGGTATTCAGATAGAAATTGGGAAAATTAAGTTATGAATTAATGTTTTTCTGTTTAAGGATTAAAACTCTGCTGATTATGAAATCAGATTATTAGGTTTGGGTTATCAATAGACTTAACACTGTATGTAAATCTTGTTAAGTGTTAAAAGTGTGAGCTGATTATCAACAAACTTTTATATTTATCTGTTGAAGGATTACCAGGAGATCCGCGTACCTCTGTCAGACATTCCTGTGAATCCCTGTACGGCATCTGAATTGACTCGGCTCTGTCTCCGACGACAGGATGACAATGATAATGCCTACGAGGATGAAGAAGATGTTGAAGTTGTAAGTTAAAGAAGTATATAAGAATAAAAATCCAATGATAGTAAACAATTATTATTTATTGCTGTTAATTATTGTATTAATTTATCCTGTAATTTTATGTGATTACTGGGGCTGCATATTAAACAAAATTGTGATGTATTTTGCACTCGGTTGGTTTATATTTAACCCAGCCAAAAACAATTTTATATCTCCATGCTGGTAACATCATATAGGAAGGAAACAGAATCATATCAATGACTACAGTGAAACTTGTATGGTCAACCTTGAATGTACCTGATCTTTTGGAGTTCTGTATGATGTTTTGAAAAAAAAATGGTCTGAATCCAACAAATACTGGTATCAGGTCAAAAAGGAAGATTTAGATCAACTGGCGAAAGTTGTCAATCTGGAAGACAAAATTTACGTCCAGGGAAAAAAATTTCAAAATCAAAGAATCGTCAGACCAATGGTGAAGGAAACTGGGTCAAATGTGAAGGTCAAGTTTGGATCTCTAAGTTGGTAAACATTTCATGACATTAATTTGAATTAAGATTCAGAATAGTGACCTCAATAGCTTTGAGCAGCCTGATAAAATTTTGCACTTTTCAAGAACTCCATGTGTATGATGAGGTCTTGTGAAAACAAACGGAGACATTTATAAATGTGGCCTTAACTGACGAAATCAGTAGAGGTCATTACATCAGAAATAGAGGATTTTCCATAAGCTTTATGTGGAATCCATCAATCAAATCTTAGAATATTTTTCATTTTATCAAGCCCCTGGCAAGGCGAAATAAAAACAAATTGTGACAAGTTTCATAAATCACATATGGAATGGAATCAAGTGTAAGATTCTGTTTATCATATATTAAACTTGTGCAAACTTTTGTGAAAACAGCATTTTCTTAGACTGAGGCAAATGCTGAATTAGCATTTTAAAGATCTGATGTCAAAATGTGAACAATCAATCAGCTGTATGAAGCATATTATACATCTGTGTTTACAGAATATATCCCAAGTAAGTGTTCTGACACTGCGATGAATTGTTTTTCCAGTCTGATGCCTTGCTACAGCTGCTGGAGTCACAAGAGTTATATCAATTAGATCTGGCCCAGAAGATACAGATTCTGAAAGGTCTGTGTCAGAGGATCATGGGGACTTATTCCGTACAGGACTACATGGAAGAGAAACAAACAGAGGCCTCTAAACTATGGTCAGTATTAAAACTGAAAATAAAATATGACTGACTCAACACTAATGTATTTCATAACAGTTCGGAGAGTGTAACAACCTCAGCTATCTCTGATCAAAACAGCAAATGTCGGTAGACACATCAGCATGTGTCAACCACTGTTAATTTCAAGCTGATAATCTTTATCAATTTTTCTCAGAAAGTGCTATAATTTTGTGAATAGCCTAATTTTACACTTTCCAAAAATCAAATGCATGGAAAGAAATAATGAAATCTAGCCATTTAGTCCCTTTCAATGGTGTGAGTAATGTTTAACAAAAATGGATGTCCTAAGTTTGTTTCACTGGATTAACAGTTTGAAATTGAACTTTGTGTTTGTGATATTGACTGTACCATGCCTTTCACAGTTGAAGAGATTTGTGAAGTCTTCCACTGCCTGAGGGAAAATGATATTGATAAATGGGGCTGTAGGTATAAGACTATTCCAGTCAAATATCCATACCGTCTTGGTTGGTCGGTTGATTGGTTGGTTACAGGTTTCTCGTCTCTGTGACTTGTCCTTTCTCTGGACATTGTCTCACAGACAAATGTCAATGTTCTGTTGACTGTCCATACCATCCAAGGACCTCAGCTTATGTTTCGAGGTACCACCCATACAATTTAACTGATAATTTTCAAAAACCAAACTATGGATAGAACTTGTTTATGAAGAGTCCTTAGGTCAGATAAGTGTTTTACTGAAATAGCCTTGTAGATTTTCAGAATTTTTAAAAGTTTTTGTATTTTTTGTACAGGAGGAAGAGACTTGCGGTGCTTAAAGTAAAGAATACAGAATTAAAGAAAGAAAAGGAACAGAGTAAAAAAGAGAAAGCTGAACAGGCTCAGAAAGAACCAGAGAGGAATAAAACAAAGGAGGACAAATCAAGTAATAGTCGATAACTTATAGACAAACAAAAAATTTACAGTTTGTATTGAAGATTTTTGTTTAATGTTACAAATGTTTTAAACTAATTTGGAAAAGTCCTATTGAAATTCATCAAATGTCTGTCACACAAGTTAAAGTTACATTGTTTCTAATGATGAAAATTCAGTGATGTTATTTCAATAACACAGTGTACATATTTAAGGTTATGGTATAAGTGTGATGTGTGTAATTAATTTGTGTTCTCCTCTTCAGGTTTGACTATATCTCACTTCTATGGTCAGACATCTGCTGATCAGAGTGACTCTTCAAAGCCTGCCACTCCTGAACCTATTTCTGCAGACTCTACAGAGGATGGAGATGACTTGGCTTCTGTAGTGAAACGACGTCGCATTAATGCTGCGAAAGCTGCTGCTGAGAAAGAACAGCGACAATATGAAACCAGAAAACAGTAAGACTTCTGAAAAAATCTTCAGCATGTTGTGTGGTTCAGCTAGTAATAGTTCTTAGTATCATGATAAATATTTCTCTCATTCCACACTCAGGTTCACTGTTCTTGTATTACACACCCACCCATGCAATACAGGCACGTGCACGTAGAAATGTCACATGTCCCTTCCCAATTAATGTCATACAATTATATAATGTGTACATATTTTGTAAAATAGGGCATCCTTGGTAGCCAATATTTTTTCAATATTTAAAAATGAGAGATGAAAGGTAGGAAATTCAGCCTGAGAGGTCGCATAATGTTGTAAAATTTTAAGCTTGTATTTACAAGAGGTTTATAAGTACATCCAGTTACATAAATTCCCAAGTTCAGAAGTAACAAGCTGTCACAAGGTGATTACGTACCATCAGGGCCTAGCTCTCTTTTCCTGGGCATCCCTTCCGAAAACTTTTTAGATTGAATGTTTTTATGTTTGTTGTTAACAGGAGAGAAAAAGAATATGAAGAATACAGGAAACAGAAACAGAGAGAAGACTTTGAAAAAGAATTTGTTGTAAGTTTTTACCAATTTACCCATCACCTAACATTTCATTACTTAGCTTTAAGTGTAACATGGGAGTCAAAAAAGTTTTGTCTGATTCTGTTCATAAAATATTTTCATGGGCCTCTGTTTTTGTGGGGTTTTTTTTTTTCAAATAATTACTTTTTGTGGACACTTAATTTCATGGATAAATGCAGCTTAATAAATCGACTTCTATTAATTTGAACAGTTCATGGACATATAAATTCATTTATTAAATGTACCCACAAAATGATTGAAAGTAAACACCTTCCTTGTTGAAATATTGAAATTAAAGTGATATTGTTTCCTTTAAAATTTCTATCCTTAAAAAATAAAGATCAATGAGACCGACATCTATAAAAGTATTGTGTTGGAAGAAATTTTGAACAGAAAATACCATCTAAAGATTTTGTGAACAACTCACAGCTTGCATGGTTTTAGCATAGATTTGTTGAATTTGTTAAGAAATTCTTGTCATGTTAAGAGTATTTTTGAATAATGCAAATGTGAAATGATATATTTTGGTTTTTATGTACATGTATATTTCATGTAATTTTTTTTTCCAGAATGGAATAACCCTTGCTAAGTCTGTACTTCGCCATACACCCGTAGGGACGGACAGGAATCACAGTCGCTACTGGGTTTTCTCTGGGGTAACTCCTGGCCTCTTCATAGAGAAAGGTGTGTCTTTTAAAATTTTTCCATAGGATTCAAATTGCCTTCTTCTATGTATAGAGGATCTTGCACAAGTTTGAAATGAAATTTATGAAACCAGTTGAAATTATTTATTTTACTAAGTCTCTGAGGTAAAATGAGTAATCTGGGACGAGTTTCGCGAATCTCACGGAAATTGAAACAAATGGAACATTCTGTTCATCACATAACTTAATTGATTTTGCAAATATTTGCAAACTATATCTAATTAAATTGAAACAAAATCAATGTTGGCAGAATTTTCGGTCTAAAATCTCTCTCTATGGTAATTACACATGATGATGTATGATGTATTATGTCAAAATGAAAGCATTGAGAACCTTCAGTCAACCAAAATATATGTCATATGTGTTGATACTCTTGTAACAAGGAAGTTCTGTGATATAAAGATTTTATTTCTAAAGGCTCAAATTTCCCATCAAAACTTCATGCAAAAGGGATTTGTTTTGTGGAAGTAATGAGATTGACTTTTTTTTATGCTTCCAAAACATTTTCGGGAGAGCATATAGTTGCCGCCTTGTCTTGACTGATATTCATTCTCAGAGTACTTATTTTCATTGACTTACTGCATCCTCAAACATATTGAAAAATATAGTAAGTCCATAATCATATATTTTCTTGCGATTATGACTTAGGATTATGAAAATATGTATGTTCATTCTTATGAAAGATAAATATTAAGTTATCGCTGAGTTTTTTTTCTGTGATAGGCTGGGTGAATGAGAACATTGATTACTGCACTAGAAAGGCAGGGTCGTCTAATTGGGAGAGCGATGACTCCGACACTTCAACTAACACAGGAAGTAAGGATGAAGAGCGACGAAATCGAAATATTGAAACTACGTAAGTGTGTTGTTGACCAGCCTTTTTGATATAGAATCTTCTGTGTAAAATTTAATTCTTTTTAAGTAAAAAGAAAAACCTGTGTCTGACCCTACTCTGGATGCTAGTGTCTTCATCTCAAGGATTTGTGCCCATATTGATCTTCCTACACATGACTGTTAAGCTTATAATGTTGTGTTCTAACGTTTGCGAAATCCTTCAACGCACGTTATTTAAATCTCTTATAAAGTTTGGTGAATATCTTTAACTTAAATAAATTCATCATTGGTGAAAACAAGATGCCTTTAAAAGGAGAGAAAGAGAGAGAAATGGAAATGAGAAAAAGACGGAAAAAATCTGTCAAATATTGTTATCCTGTAGTTTAATAGTGATAACTTTTGTTGCTACAATAGACTGAGTCACTGCAACATTACAAGGTTTCGTTCTTTTTTATTTTTTAGAATTCCACATTGTGGTCAAAATTTATGGTTTACCTACTCCAATAAAACAGAAGTGGATGAATTGTTAGACAGCCTCCATCCACAAGGCTACCGAGAGAGTACACTGAAGAAAGAACTCCAGAACCGATACGCAGATATATGTTTAGGTGTTAATCAGAGTAAAAGGTAATATTGTAGAGAAGACTTTTATCTAAATCATTATAATGACCATTTGTAACTTTGTTCTGTTTTTTATGGGATTTGGAAAAGTGACAATGAACTACAAAATCATTAAATTTTGTGGGCAATTTATTTTCATTTATTTCGTTGCTGCACTTTAATTTATAAATTCATTTGTTTACAATCTATTAAAGACTGTACAAAAGACAGCACAAGTAAATAGCACCTTTTCATAATTAAGAGTGAGATGCAGTAGAGCCAAACAATGAATTAAACTTTATCATACAGCTGTTTCGTCCTTCTAGGACTCATCAGTGATGCTAAGGGCCTAAATTTTGAAACAAGTACAAGTTATAGCTATTTACAAAATCAAATGTCCACAAAATTGAAACTGTATTTTGAAAAACCACGAAAAGTGAGCCCCACAAAAATATATGGTTTTAAAGCATGTGAAGTGAAATTCTGTTATCAGTTTTTGCTGTAAATTATTTGAAGCTTGTTACTTTATTTATTTGCTCACCAGAATGGTATATACTAAGTCTTGTCATTTTATGCTAATTAAAGCCCCCATATAATGAGACATTTATATTTTTACTGAATTTTTCCGAGTGTGATAGAAAAAATAGGATACATCAACGTGGAGAATATCACTAATGAATAATACCAAGATTGTTTTATGTTGATCAGAGCTGTGTGTGAGCTGAGAGATTCTGATGGTGACAAAGAAATGTTGGATGGATTCAGACAGGTAATATACAGTGAAACATGCTTATTGTGATATTTTATTTTACAGATTAATGTTAATTGCTTAATGATTGATCATATATCATACACTAAATACAGTAGGTATAACCCTAGTTTCAGTGTATTCTGCTATTGCTTGCAATTTTGGCTGCACATGTTGTTGAAAAATCCATAGAGTTGTCTCCCTTTATAGATATTTGAACGCCAACAGCAACTTTAGTTAGATTTCAGTGATCAATCTACATGTGAGTTTCGAGTCCTATACTCATAAAATGTGACTCATAGAATTTCTAGAAACACTTAATATTTTCCATTGCGGAACCCATTTTTTTAGCGATGAAGTTGAAAAGGACTTGTGGAAATAAATTGTAGATTGAATACTGAGACTATTACTTAAAAAAGTAGATAGGCAGTCTCAGTTGGGTAATATTTATCAGGGGTTTATCCAACCACATTTTCAATTCTGAAATTCAATTAAACCCATTTGAGAATTAAAAAAACCATTAATCATCAATGAAATAGGTTACTTGGTTCACCATAAAGAATTATATTTATTTTCATTGCAGGAACTTTTGGATACAGAGACAAAATTGCGCTATGGCGGATTAGGAGGGGTAGATAACTTTGATACTTGGGAATCTGGACTTGAGACAGCATCAGATGTTTCAGAATTTGTAAGTTGTGTTACATGTTGATGAAGGCAGCTCTGTGAAGAGTATAGAATAACACTTATATATTCATAATGTTTAATATGATTTTGTTGTCCATTCACAGTTAAGCCTTGAATTTTAACAGGAGATTCCCCACAAGTTAGGATTTCATACTATGCTTTTGAAGAAAATCAACCAATCGTGTTCTCATGGAAATCGTACACCTCAATTTAATATTTAAACAAATGTATGATATTCCATTTGCAGAAATTCTTTATAGATATAGCTTAATCTGTTAACAAACATTCATGAGTGATAAAATTTATAACCCAAGCAGAAATTTTAGTGAACAGGATACACACTAGGGTATTTACTCTGTATACTCTACATAAAATCTAGGATCCAGTGACCTTTCAGTTCCAGATTTCTGTATACGTTATATTTATATAGCTTGGTTGGGAGTATTCCCACCAATTTTGCCTGTCCAAACTGACCACAGTAGATATATTATGAAGCTAATGATAGTTTTTAAAAGTCATTAGAATAAGTTCTTTAAAAGCACAGAACAACCAGAAATGTTTCAACTTGTTGTGGAAATCCCCTTGATATATATTTTATCTTGCTTGGTTTCATTGTTATTACGTTTACAATATATATTACAATTCAGGCAACCATTAAACCATAGCATTAGTAACTAGCAACTATTTATATTTGGAAATTTATTGAAGTGTGTTTTCTATACAACATGTTAAATGATATAAGTATTTTCATGTTTGGAAAGCAAAGCCACAGTTCCTCTGTCCAAATATGATGTATGGTAGTTACAGATATTTTGTTTAATATTCTCTCAGGCTAAACTGATGATTGAGACACAAGAAAACGTATCCAAGAAATTCCTTCAGGGAATTATGGGTGAAAGGAAGAAGAAAGCAAAGGTGACAGAGATGACGGAAGTGAAAGAAGAGAAAGAAGTAGAAGGTTTGAATCTGTAGCATTTTAATGTTCCTCTAAATTGTAAAAATCATTGCAAAATTTGACATTTAAGTTGGATTTCGAAAAAAAGTTAATTGAATCTCCTGTGATTTATTAAATGGAATAAACTTATGTATGCATGTTTGGATATAATCTTGTATCTACTCCTGTGTAAGGCAGCCAGTGGAACCCCCATGTTTTACACAGTTGATTTGCTCTTGATATTTGCTGATTGATATTTGCATAATACAACAAGTTTACATCTTATGAAAACTTGAAAATAATGTATATGTTTATATACAGGATGTCTATTGCATCACATGTTTCGTTCAGAATCTGTGTCATATTTTGAGAACCTCTCAACAGACCTGGTTCATAATTACTCCATACAGGGTTTTCAATAAGAGCCGGTGGCCGGCCAATTTGACCGGCTACTTTGATCATTTGGCCGCCTACACCAATCCAGTTCCGTAATAATGTTCCATACACGACTACATGTACACAGCAGGCCAGCCTCCTACTTTCACTACACAGCCTGCTACTAACAAAATTATGGAAAACCCTGCCATAGTATCATACGTCAAATTCTACACCTGATTTGTGTCCACAATCTGTTATAAACAAACATATGAACATAAATATCTGGTAAACTGACCTGATAGCAGTCGAGGAAGTAGATTTACTTATTATTTTACTTATTGTAGAGAATGAAGAGGAAGAGAAGGAGATAGCTGGAATAGTAGAGTGGCGTGAAGCTGTAGAGAGTGCGTCAACGTTGTCCCGACTTCATGTCCTCATGGGTATTCTAGATAACAGTATCAAATGGGAAAAATCAGCAGAGAACGCAGTGAGTGTATTACCCATTAAAACTTTCACCAGATCTTAATTTTCACTTTTTCTAGATCGTAATGTTTCGAGTTATGCGTAAATTGGAAATTTTTTAAATAACTGGCTTTCTGTTGATGTGATGATGATAGAGCTACAACTGGTGTGCTTTGGTATTAAGTTAATGTATATTTGAAATCGTCTTCAACATTTTATCTCTTGATTGTCCACCTTCACATCATAATTATGGACTGATTTAGATAGTTTCAAGTTTCATTGTCATATACTGAAGAACATGTTGATGTGTATATCCTTTTTCTGAAATGTCAGTGTTGTTAGGAAATGAAACAATGGCTGCCCTTTATTTTAACAGAAATGTAAAATATGCCGGAAAAAGGGAGAGGAACAGAAACTGTTATTGTGTGACGAGTGTAATCAGCCTTTCCATATGTATTGTCTCAGACCAGCTCTTGTGGAGATACCAAAAGGAGACTGGTTCTGTGCCTCTTGTATGGTAAGTGATAGGGAGACAGGTTCTGTGTCCCTTGTGTGGTAAGTGATAGGGAGACAGGTTCTGTGCCTCTTGTATGGTAAGTGATACCAAAGGGAGACAGGTTCTGTGCCTCTTGTATAGTAAGTGATACCAAAGGGAGACTGGTTCTGTGCCTCTTGTATGGTAAGTGATACCAAAGGGAGACTGGTTCTGTGCCTCTTGTATGGTAAGTGATACCAAAGGGAGACTGGTTCTGTGCCTCTTGTATGTTAAGTGATACCAAAGGGAGACTGGTTCCGTGCCTCTTGTATGGTAAGTGATACCAAAGGGAGACTGGTTCTGTGTCCCTTGTATGGTAATTGATACCAAAGGGAGACTGGTTCTGTGTCCCTTGTATGTTAAGTGATACCAAAAGGAGACTGGTTCTGTGTTCCTTGTATGGTAAGTGATACCAAAGGGAGACTGGTTCTGTGTCCCTTGTGCACTAAGTATACTGAAGCAGACCTATAACATTGGAAATTATTTCCTAAGAACAAAAGTTCAATATTTAAGGCCTTTAATTAATCAGAATACAGGATGCCCAATATTTATCACTTGTATAACTAATCTTTGTTATCTTTCCAGCCTCAGAACCAAAGAAGGAAATCTCGAGTGTACAACGTTGACTATGATGATGTAAGTAAGATCATATGTACGTTATGATAAAGGAGAATTTAATCATCACAAGATAACGTACTGACATTGTCATTTATGATTAGAAAAAGTTCACTTTATTGTGTGTAATGACCCACTTTACTTCATTGTGTGGTATGAACCACTTTACTTCATTGTGTGGTATGAACCATTTAACATCATTGTGTGGTATGAACCATTTAACATCATTGTGTGGTATGAACCATTTAACATCATTGTGTGGTGTGACCCACTTCACTTCATTGTGTGGTATGACATATTTAACATCATTTTGTGGTATGACCCACTTTACTTCATTGTGTGGTATGACCCACTTCACTTTATTGTGTGGTATGATCCAATTACCTCTAACTATCTCTAATAATTTCTATGTGTCCTAGTGGATTTGATTTGATATATTGTAAATTTATTTTTATTCAGCAAAGAAGAAAAGGGATTGATGGGTACACCAGCGACTCCAATGACTCATTGTGTGGAGAGATAGAACATGAAGAGAATTGTGCAGAATGTGGTGGAGACGAAGGTCTCATCTTTTGTTCTGAATGTCCCACGGCGTACCATCTGGAGTGTCATGACCCACCGTTGAGGCATCCTCCTAGGTAAATACATATTCACTCTGACCCACCACTACACAACATTAAACATTAAATTTATAATGTATACTGTAGTCAGCGAAACGCTAGAGTGAAAGTACACACTACTTAAATACATTCATGACAAGAAAACAGCGAGACTCCTTTAAAAACGGGCCTCAGACAGTAATGATAATGACACTCCACTATGTTGTGTCCTATTTGTAAGAGTTTTACGACTACAGCGAAATCTCCAAGTAAAGCTAGCACATTTCACTGTAGTTGTTGTCTTTTCCACATGGAGTCCATGCAATCTTACACAGTAAATAGACTGCACATGCTTTGTACAAACTATTATATCCAGAAACATGATCAGCCAATGTCATTTGTAGAATCACCTGTTTTGACAGCTATTAACGGACTGAACAGTTTGCTAAAGGAAAAATTCTCAGCATCTCCTTCAGATGATAATGCAAGCTGCGATGCTTGATTGCATCAGTAAGCACATGAATACAACTGGCTCCATTGTAACATTTGTTTTAGGGTAGGGCAAGAAATTTTGCTGTCCCAAATTTTGTCAATGGGCAAGTGCTTAAAAATTCTATTTGTCTGCCACATTTTGTGAATCCGTGGACAAGTTTAGTTCATTTCATACCATAACATACCACAGCAAGCTTCACACATCAATTTTTGGTATTAATCGATGGTGGTTAATGATCAGAGATAAAAAACTTGTATACAAGATATCTTATGAACACCTCAACAGATGTAGTTCATGTTCACACCACAGTATCGCTGCATAATCTTCTACTCCAGGTAGTTTGATGGTCATTGGTCTAAGATACAGTTCAAAACGTACCCTTGACTACTTTTGTTTTTTAAAAATTTTCCATACAAAATATCTCATGAATCCCTAGGTAGTATATCTATACCTGCTCACTTTGTGTTATTTTTTCCAGAGGAAGATGGGTATGTACAGAATGTAAAACTGGAGTGAAAAGAAATTCAAGGTCAAGGACGAAACGGAAAGTTGCAAAGAAATCAGGCAAAGGTAAAATTTGTTCTTATTTGCAGATTACTAAAGTTTGTCATGTTCAGTTACTTGTTTTGATTTTGAAAAACTTATCCTTGTGTTGAAGAAAATGTGGTGAATTAATGAACAGTATGTTTCCTCCGCTTCCGTAGAAATTAGCCATTAAGGATTGTTATTTAAGTTAAAAATCACAGTCTAAGCTTTAAAACAGGAAATAGATAACATGCACTGACACAATCCTCTCTATAAGATGACCTGCATGAGTGACTCTGATTCCTGTTAAGTTTGATGGTAAATACTTATCATAGAACACTTTCATTCAGCTGCTCCAAAAAGAAAGAAGTATGTCGAATCATCTGATGAAGGAGGGGAGGAGGAGGATGAGGAAGAAGATGAAAGTGAAGAAGAGGAGGAGGACGACGAGGAGGAAGGAGACACACCAAGGAAAGTTGGACGCAGACAGAAATCTACAAAGTCCGGGCCAGGCAGAAAGCCAGGCTCCGCCAATAAAAAGGATAAATCTCGCTCTTCTGTTGGCAGTAACTCAAGTTTCAATGATGGTAGAACATATACTTCTAGACGGGCACCATCAGAGCTGTCTGTAAGTAAAGAATCATATTTAATGTACAGGGATTCTGTAATTATAAACATATAGGGAGCATGCAAGACTCTTTGTAAGTGTTAGGTGTAAATTTTTACGTAGTTTAATCAATAATTTAAATTGTATCAGAAGTTTGATTTGATATTTTCAGGTGTGGAATCTTCAAGTATTCTGTATTACAGTTACACATCATTTTTCGTTGCTTTGATTTTTCATCTGGATATATAATTGAAAAAATTATTTACACATATATTAAAAATTATATCACAGACTTGCAGAAAAAAGTTATTTAGTGATAAAGGAATTACCATAGACATAGAATATTGTAACTGAACTGCCTATTTATCCCAGCCAAGTGATAACAAAAGAATGAATCCACTTATTGTCTTGTTGCGAAAAGTTACAGAGGAAATTGATTGGTCAGTCTCTTTGGGTTTCATTGGGGGAAGAAATTGTTTGGATTAAGAAAAATAAGGCCACCGTTTTTCAGTGTGAGGTAAAGATTTGAACAACCATTCCTGTTACAGATATGTGAACAGATCATAGGTGATATTATGAAGATGGAATCTTCCTGGCCGTTCTTACTCCCAGTCAGCAAAAAAGATGTAAGTGCTTTCAGTGAGAACAAAACTATGTGGAAATATTCTGAACAAAAATTCTGGAAGAAATTACAGATTTTATTTAAGTTTCTTACACATGACATGAAGACGTGAAATCTTAAGATCACCCCAGGGGCCTGACATGCAGGGCCAAAAAGATAAATTGACTGAAGTTTTAAAAACCTTCTCAGTACCCAAATATGGTAGATTCATATGCTGTTTATGGTGATAAAGGTATTAAAGTAAAACTCTTCTGAACCCTGTACAAACATGTTTCTTATTTATCTCTTCTCTTTACACAATTCATTCCAATTGTTTCCATTTATGAGTTCACTTACGGGACCATTTAGGCCTCTTGTTAACATTGCTGTCCCTTGTTAGCAAAACTGAGGGAAGGCACTGGAGATAAGATGAGATTTGGGGAATTAGATTCACATAGTTATTCTGTGTATCTCACCTTATTTGTGTTTTTATCGTTAGGTACCTGATTATCATCGTATTGTGAAACATCCTATGGATCTTCAGCTGGTCAAAGACAAACTCAAGTGTATGGTGTATGGTTCTGTGGAGGAAGTCATCGAGGACGTCAAACAGATTTTCATTAATGCTGAGTTGTATAATAAGGTTAATATTCAATTATCTTGCATCTGCTTTTAACTTTCAAAACCAGAAGACTTACTGCTGCCTTTTGTTGGTGATAATCCAATGTTTATTGTGCAATCTTATCTATCAATGGACCAGTTTATGTTGATACGGTCGTGTCCTTGTCACTTCACCTTAATTACTCTGGATGTCATGTAACAGGCCTCCCATATGTTGTTCGGTGAAGTTATCACCAGCAGCCATGAGGATACTCCGCCTCAAAATGACCCTGACAGTACATAGGGTGATAAACCCCGCATATCTATCAAGTCTCCCTGTTATTCCATTATTTTATATTTACCATGTGCTCAACCTTTTTGGTTTTAATATTCCATGCTTTGTAAGTCCCTATATTTGAAAGCCCAAGAAGCCACTTACCTTAAGAATGAGGACCTGAATTAAGTGTTATTATTGTTGATTATCTATAAAAAAAAAAAAAACAGTGATATGTTTATAGGTATTGTGGTTCTGTTGGAAACATCAATCAAAATTCATACAGATATTTTAACGTTTTTCATTGCAGATTGGAAGTGAAGTGTTGGATTGTAAGGATGATGTAGAAGAAAACTTTGCCAATTTAATTAAGAAGAACTTACCTATGTGCCTGTATGCTCGAGTAAAGAATAGCCAAGCATGATGAAAATAATGGATATTTATGGACAATCTTGCTGACAGTAATACAGTAATAGCAACTTAAACAGCCAAGTGCACTGACAATGACGAATATTAATAGGCAAGCTTGTTAACATTAGCGTGTGATGAAAATATTGAATATTATTAGGCAAGCATGCTGACAATTACAAATATTAATAGACACGCTTGCCAACAATAGCAATCTAAAACAGCCAAGTGTGCTGAAAACAATGGAGACTTATAGACAAGCTTGCTGACAATAATGAATGTTGATAATCCAATACAGCTGCAAATTCCTGAGCTCGAATATCATAACTTATCAGAACACTCTTTGATATCTAGACTTTTTATGAAACTGTCCAAATATTTTGTCAAATCGCCCAGGAATATCAATGATGTGTGGTTTGTAATTCACTAACTCGGAGCGAGTCCATGGCATATAAGTATGGTCAGCTTAATTTAGACTGCTGACAGGAGGTGTAGAAGCTTTAGAAAACTCCTAAGGATATCACGTAGACATCCTGGTAGAGGATAATCGTTCTTTTTGATTGTTATCAGTTAAGGACCTCAGTTCATGTGAAACATCAAATTTCCTGGTGAGATGGCTTCGATAAATAGATTTTTTATCTCTTTGAAGATAAAATGATATCTTTATTTCACTTTTTCCTGGAGAATGTTTCAAGACCTTATTTCTTAACTCTTAATTTAACAATGTTAAGGAATTATGAAATACCAGTACTGTAACTTTCATTTTACTAGTATAAAGTATGCTAAGTACATGTACTTATGTTTTACAGTGTTGAATGGAGTTTCAGAATTCTCTGCTTGTACTAGGTCTTCCCACAAAACAATGCATAATTCAACTTGGTCAAATTCCTAGTACATACATGTAACTAGTTATATAGTCAGTACTACTTTACCCACAACTTACAATTCCTGATAGTGTAAATTACTTATATTTCGTGGGGGATTTGATACACAAGGAGAGTCAATCGTGAATTCAAATCCCTCACGATTATTTGTACAGAAATAATTCTTGACGACATAGCCCATCATCCGCAAATTTGAAGTCATTTCTATTTGCAAAATCATGTATTTGCAAATATGTCTGAAAAGAGAAGTTTACTAATTAAAGTATTCACAACATCTAAAGGATTTACGGCAATATTGTCAGTAGGAGAGTGACAACATTATTGTCTAAATATACAAATTAATTTCACAGTCAGCTATTTTTTTAAATAAATCTTGTAAATAAATCAATAACTGAAGTGTTTCAGTTTGCATGCAGCATAATTTATGTACCGGTAGTTGCACTACTGGAGTGTTATGTTTAATTTCACGCCACACTTCAGGAATTTATCAATTTATGAGACGACATTGTTGGCTGTACAAAATACTAGTTTATATGTCTAAACTCTCTGACCAATAAAAGGAGTACCCATCTGCCCAAGAAACCATAGACATTGACAATCTGAATAAAGTTGATTGCTGAAATATTGATTAAGAAATGTTGATTTCTTCATTAACACTCATTAATTAAGCAAATGAAAAGAAAACAAGATTGATTTTCCTTTTCAATAGCAGTGTCTTATATCATTTGATTTCTGTCATTAGGTTCATGACTTTACCCTACCCCCATCTCATAACAAAAAATTACAGATTTCCTCCAACCAGTCATTTTATATACCAAATCAGAGCCCTTTGATGCAATATCTAAACTAAACAGTAATCATTTTTGAGATGGGACCAAAACTCAGAAGACATACTGTAAATAAGGGGTGTTTTTTGATGTTTTATTTTCAAGGATGGACTGAAACTACAAAAACACAAACAAAATCAGTAATAAAAGAATTGTTCAAATACATTTTCAGAAAAAATACATCTTTATTCTTTTGAACATTTTTGTTAAAACTGGTGGGTGTGACAGTATTCTTGTTTTTGCATTTATTTTTACCAAAAGAGTTAAAAATCTTTTCTGCGGAAATAAATTACGTCAAAGCATAAACCTGAATGACAATATTAGGCATTTGTATCTGTCTATCATGTGTAAAGCTGTACATATTGTGAATGCTGACACTGGAATAAAATTTGAAAATAATGCTTTCCAGATTATTCTTCGGCCATTAAAGCCTAGTATTTCCTGTTGCATGTGATGCAGAAAGTAAGATGTGTTTTCTCTTGGATGTAATGACCTAGAACTAGGATACTGAGAGATTTACAGTGCTAACAGGCAATAGAAAACCAGAAACATATTTTCAGCACAGGAACAAGACTTTTTGTATGTATTATTGGCCCAGGTGTAATCTTGTGGAAGTGAGAGTTCGAAAGATAACTGTTGACTGTACAGAATTTTTATTAATCATGTAGATCATGATGTTGATTTTTAAAATGAGGGATATATGTTGCCTGACATTGTATGATTTTGTTGTGTCCAGGGTAAACACCTTCTTTGTAGAATCACTTGAGCTTTAGTAATCATGTCATGTGGTACTTGTGTTGAACAATATGAAAGGAGATTTGTTTTATCAGTAAGGTAGCATGTGCCCTTAAAACTATCAAATTCACTGTTTTACATTCATTTATTCATACAAAGAAAAAGTATTTTCAAGGAGAAAACTTCCTTTTTATATACGTGTCATTATTTATAACATTTTTTTAAAGATGTAAATAATTTTGTGAAGTTGTTGTCACGTAGAAATACTATAATATTTAAATTCATGTTTTTTTTTGTGCAGTTTTACAATGCTGTTATAAAAAATAAGTTGGGTTTTAATACATAGAAGAATTTTAAAGTCTATAGCACTTTGTGGAATTGGAATAATGTATCTACCTACCTTCTGGTCCTTTGGCTTCAATTATTAAGGAGACCTGGCAATAACTATACTGTATATTAAGGGTTAACACAGGTCACTGAGGATTCTTAAAACACAGTAGCTTAAGCATATAATTCACTGATCGATGTGGATTTGCTTGAAGAACTGACACACTGTATACTTTGTATGTGTAAACTTTCGCTGTCGTTTAACTTCCTCTGGTTTAGCCCTCTTTTCTATAGAGTAAAAATAATAAGCAGGCTGGAGTTGGATGTTGTCTTTTAAATGTAAAATAGTTATACTTTATGGAGAATTAATTCCTGAATGAAAAATTACTGTCCTGGAATACAGTAATATTGAAGAATTAGATTTTGTTTCCCATCCTCAAGTTCCAGATTGCAGCCATTGGACTGCCAGGAAAAACAAAACTGGTAGTAAATTTTAAAATATAAAAAAAAAGGATTTTATGGAGATTTATCATCTTTTTTATTTACACATTGTATGAAAGAATGAAATCTACTTAAATTGAATTCATTTACATAGTGACAATTGTTCAAAAAAATGTGAAAATAGACAAAGAGTTCTTGAAATTTGTCCTTGAATTTCTTGCACAAAATTTATATCAGTCCACAAAAGACACATTACAAGCATATAGAAACAGTAAAAGTTCTGTTAGTAACACAAATTTAATTTGTTCGAAATGGGGATGTAGGCTTGGTTCAATGATAACGTGTTGTTTGCTTGCATTGTGACATTTCATTATGTATCAATAAACATAGTCGACTCTAAATGGTTGTTGTGTTTTATGTACTATCAATGTTTCCAACTGATCACCAAGATTTTGATGCAAGAGAATATTACATTCGTACTGGTATTTCAAGTTTCCCACAGGAAATGTGAAATGGAGAACAATATTTTAGCTTCATTTTCTGAAAACGAGTATCAAAAACCTGATGAATGCTCCCCATAAACAACTGGATTGGATAAAAAATTTTAACAAAGTGCAATCATTCTGTATTTATGGGGTTTAAGGCCCTGAATTTGGCACACTGTACATCCTCTTAGTATAACCAATGTATACATGAACTTTCGTTATCCTAGTTAAACTGGGTAAATGAAAACAAAGGTAAAATCTGGACACAAATTTCAACAAAGGGCAATAACACTAATTAAGGGGTTTCAGATCCCAACATTGGTATACTGCACATTGTCTTTGTATGACAAATGTGTACACCAAGTTTCATTAACCTAGTTTAATGTTGGCAATTAAATATTGTGGATACAAGATTTTAACAAGGGGAGATAATTCTGTAATAAAGATCTTGTAGGCTCTCATTTTGGTAAACTGCTGTTCCGTTAATATGACTAATGTCTACATTTTTCTCATGAAAACTAGCAATAACGCCATGCAAACAAAGAATATACATGTACAAAATATAGAAATATTTACTGAAATAAAAAAAAAAAAAAACAGATTCCTTGTACAAAAATATCTTTATTTACATTTTTACAAAATTAAGATGCATAATTTACAAAATGTGATGAAATATGTAGTTATACAAAGTGATTAAAGACACTCCTGTTATTTGATATTTTTAAAAAAAAATATGTTTTTCCTTAAAATCAATGTAATGTATGCTTCATATTTATAAAACGATTTTACTTAAAAACTACCAGTATCAGACGGAATGTACCAATTGCAGTTTAGCAACTTTGAAACTTTCAGACAGGTTCTGAAACATTTTCACACAATGATTATTTATACCATAATTTCATAGATTTTTTAAATGTGTGCCATGAGAAAAACAGTTATAAATAATATGATCTATTCCAAAATGAATATAGCCTAAATCAACTGTCTTTCATTTGTAATTTTGTAAGGCATGTTTGAACTCAAAGGCCTCTCCACATCAATCTTGATACATCATTTCTGATGAATATAATGTTGAAAGAAAAAAAAACTGAAGTTTTGGACATCTTGCGTAATCTGACCAGTCACCTTTGAGTTATTGTGTCCAGACTTTCAGACGATAGGGAATTATGTTTTACTAAAACAATATTTATTGTAAAATATTAACATACATAAACTACACAAAACATAGACTAATACAACTTGTCTTGCATAGTTTTACTTAAAGATCATAAAAAATAGTTGATTTTAAGATACATGAAGAACATTCATAATACAATGATATGAAGAAAATGGCCACTTGATTTTATGTTATGAAAGACAGCTAAACATCGATAAATGAGTTAATCAAGCTAAATAAAAAAAAAACCTGATATGACTATACAACTCGGTCAGAACAAGGTTCTATAAGCTTATTTTCAAAGCCTGGAATGTATCAATGTTCATTTTTTTTGCTTCGGCCCTGAATATTTCCCTAACAAATTTGTGATGTGTCTGGAAAATTGACTTTATTTGGGCCAATATTAATTTATGATTTGTCAGTGTATGACTGTAACTGGTGCTCTGATCAGCTCATAGGTATTTTAAATTGATAATTAATTTGCATCTTTCAAAAACTTCACATTTTTCACAATGCCATGTTTTCACTTATCGGTGGGACCAGGGTTTTTCGTTCCTAAAATACATATGAACCTCCTGGTCATATTTTGATACTTTGACTTTCAAATTCAAGACCTGTTCCAATTTATGCCTGAAACATTCAATTTTCAAGTTCCAAAGAACTTTTTCCCTTATAAAGGAATAGGCCTCAGTATGTAACATAGGGGAGACAATTACTGATAAACTTTCTGGAATAATAAAATATGACTTATCATATGTAAATTGAAATATGATAAACAAGAGATAGACCTTGAATATAAACTGACTCACATATTCCTAAAGCTGCCGTCGTACAGTACAACCTTACATTAGTCAGTCTCGCTGTCCTTGTCTGTTGTATGGTGTATGACAATAATCTGGGATGTTATATATATATATCACTACACCTCCAGAACATAATTATGCTACGTGTTGTCCACACGATTTATATTTTCATATTTTGTAAAACCTTCAACTCGCTCTAACCTATTCTGAATCTGTCCTCTTACACGGAAAATAAAACATGAAATTTTTAGAATTACTTTGTTCTACAAATACACCTCAAAGTCTTTAAAACAATGTTATATCATTGTCACATCATCCTCATTTTCTGCAGAAATCAGAATTGAAATATCATTACAAAAACTTTTTCTAATTAAAAAATAATAAAATTGTTTACATATCAGAATAGCATTTCACATACAAATTCAATTAAAGATTTTAATCTAATTTATTATCTTGATTCATCTAAAAAAAAAAACAGATAATTACTCCAGGTAAGTTCAGTGTTGATATATGATACAATTGATGTACAATCTGTATTATCTAATAGAAAAATATGTAGTGAAAAAGTTATACAATACTCAAGTTACCATCTGAAAATAATGTTCCCATACAGTCTGTTAATTAATGAATTCACCCTATTAATGGGAATACATCACTTCAGTCAGTGTTGTGTTGATTATTGTATGAAAATGATTACACTTATCCATGACAAGAGCACAGAAGTCTTAATATCAGGGGAAACTCTCTGTCCACCCCCAAATGCATCAAAGTTGGATTTGGGAGCAGGACCCTGCTACACTGAAATTGTGAAATTCTTTTACATTTTTTTTATGTGGGAATTTTGGGAAATGCATGAAAAATTTTGATTGTGAATATGGCAGGATGGGGGCCTATGAACACCTCATAAATACATTGAAAGGTAACACAATACAATTTTCACATCACGTTACAGTTGTATGCCAACAAAGGTCACGAAGATATGACCAAAACATTTAAAACAACATTTTTTTTTGTTTTACAGTGAAACAAGTCAAATGTAAAATATATGAATTGATAGACAATGTATTGCTAAATCACTGTTACCATATTCAGTGTAATCAGTACTCCGCAGTTATGAAACACTATAGAGGGACGAGCTTAATCCAACTTTAAAAGGCCTTCAGCTTTGACAAAGTGCACCCATTAAACTTATAATCAGGACATTTCTCTTTATCTTCTATCAAATATTTTCACAAAAGTATCTGAATGACGGCCAATAATACATTGCCATATTTTCCATGTAAAGAATTTCCAACTATACTTTTAATCAAATGTCAAAAACGTATAATTCTCTTGGACAGGCTGTGATATATTGTATATGGACGATCATTCCTGAATTACTGGTGTGTCTGTTCATCGCTTGGTTACCCACAATGCCAGCAGGGCCATCAGCACTAACACCACCATATTAGGTAAAGTGGTAACAGCACCATTACAGAAATCTGTATCACACAGACACTTAAACAGAAAGCCTCCGTCCGACTCCACTGCCACACAACCATTCGAGTATCCATCTCGACGAACACACATTCGTGATGTCACAGTGACCACTGCAAAAATAGAAAAATAGAATCATATGACAATGTCAAACAAAAAAGTTAAAAATTTTAAGAGACTTAACAACATTGATATGTTTCTTACCATGATAATTAATGTAATAATTTGAGTTAAACCAATGTTGTTATGAACTCATTTACACCATGCACAGTGGGAGACATATCACAAAGAAAATTTATAAGAAAGGTTTCCATCCCATCTTCAAAATAGCATATCAGTCTGTGATTGGTCAGTTTTTTTCTCCTTTAACCAGCCCTAGACCAATCAAGTTACTTTAATTGTGCCTAAAATTTTGCCATGAAATGTTTCAGTGGTGCACAAAGCGATAGTGAACATAATTCCTGGAGTATCTAGGATTTAAATAAATGTGCTCTATTTTATCAAACAAACGTCCAACACTGTAAACTAGTTTATGTGTTCATATTGGTAAACAAGTTCAAGCTTGTACATACAATATTTATAAGCAAGTCATTCTTCAGGACTAATGGCTCCCACTAATGTTCTTCAAAGTTGTGTAGTTTTTCACCTTAGATATAGCATTAACAAACTCTCTTTGTCAAAATCCAAGATGGCTGTCTATGTGTCAGCTATTCTGTTTTTTTGTGATAAGTCCCAAACTCAAAAAGTCATACTGAAGTAAGTATAAAGTACTTTGCAAGAATTCATGGAAACAGTTTTGCATAATCAAAATCCAAGATGGCCACCTGTCAGCCATGTTGTTTTTCTGATCAGTTTGAAAATCAAAAAGGCATATCTAGAGACCAAGGGAAGAATTCATAAAAAAGATCCATTCATTACTTCTCAAGAAAAAAGATAGGAATAAAGGATGATAAAACATCCAAGAATGATTGTTATTCTTCATTGTTGACGTTGGCATGTTTCCGCCACTATAAATAGCAATAACAAGAAATGTTTAAGGCGGAGGGCAATTTGATCACATCACAATCTGATGACAATACAAGAAAAATATCACAATGTCTGCAGGCTATGAATGCCACTGTTGCCATCCATAGGAATTTGCAGAAAATGTCAAATCTCATGTATGACCCTTTAACCAACGAATCTGATCAGATGTAGAATGTAATGTAATGACACTATTGCATAAAAGCCATTGATTTTTGTAGGCAATTTATTTTCACTGATTTTGTGGCTATTCTAAAATTAGGTTAGTAGAGGTATGTTTATATGTAATATAACAATCCATGAAATCAAGGGTCAACAAAATAATGATATTTTGAATAACCACAAAAATTAAGCCCCATGAAAATTTATCACTCAGGTTCGAAGGCTATGACAACGATTCAGAACAGCTAGTACACGACAGGATAGACGGAGAGAGACTTGCAGACAGAATACGGGTAACACTATTCATAGATCCCCTGTAAAGTGGGTAGGCCATAACAAATACAAACCTCTATCTCTTCCAGTGATGAAGCCCGAATCTGCGAGAAATGACACCGTTTTAAACTTCATGCAATGTGTATCCTTTTCCCCACATTCTGATGTGCCTCCTTCATTTTTTACCAAATCAAATGGGTCTAGACAGATGGGGTCATCCTTTGCAGCACAGTCATAGCACTCCAGACTTAGACCTGTTAACAAGTATTCCATGTTTAATGCCAGTGACAAATAATGGGAAGGGAGATAACTCTGTATAATTTGTATTATACATGGTATTATAACAGAACCTGGTTTAGTCTGACAGATGAAATGTAATGTTTTCTTCCGGTTAAAGTTCAAATTCAATGATAAGTTCCTGTGAGTAAAATCATTCTGAAAATTATATTAACATCAAAAGTTTTAGTTAAATAATGTTCTTTTTTCACATACCACAATTGTTTGAAAAATAAAGTTATTTAGTTTTTGTTCATACAGCCACACACAACTAACAAAATTAAATTAAATGTTTCCATATTTCAAAGAATTTACAAAAGACACACAAGTGAATACCTGGTAGTCACTTTCACTACAAATTCAGAATTATATACAGTTGAGCCTAACAAGGAATTAAACAGTATCAATAACTTGTTTTTCTAGGATCATCAGTAATGCTAAGAGTCTACATTTTGAAACCTAGGTGGCGACTGAGGAAAACAAAGTGATCAAATGAAATGTCAAAACGATAGGGAGGTGCACAAGCCCCATAATTTTGTAATTTTTATTCATCGGAGTGATAATTTAGAGGAATATCAATGACTTGTATATATTCTGAACTGTTCACAAAGCATGCTTATAGTTAATTTTGTTACATGTTTTTAACTACATGTTGAATCCGTTCTTTCATCAAACATCAAATTGTTTTCATATATATATAGTCATGCATGACTGCTATCACAGATCAGCTAAATATACATTTAGATCTACCACAGTGGTTTGTACAGTGGCTTGGTCTGTTGGCTGTTGTATATGATATCCACATACTTGCAGACACAGGTGTGATTTTTATTTGTCACTAAATATGTTCAGTTATAAAAGAATAACTCATTTTCTAACATCCAAATGGGTAGTTTTAAAAGTAATAGAATATAAATTAGAGGCAACTAAGTGAGAAAGCATTTTTGATATAAAGCGTCTTAGTGATATAAAATCATTTTTATCCACCTGCCACATATATTTCTGCTGTGACGGAAAACAGCTCTATTTTACCACATGCAGTAATTTGACAGAATTACTCTCTGTATTTACATAAATTTTACATTTAGATATATAAACACTTGTTGAAATATGCAATTTTACATGTTAAAACGAGTAAGCTGATTTATGAAAATTTATGAAATCGCTGTTACATCCAATGAATTTTTTAACTATATTTCCATGCTGTGCAATTACTTTGGCATCCGTCATCAGGCAAAAGTCATCATAACATCAACATCAGGTAAACACAGATTGATCAACAAAACTGTTTAAGTTTCAATAGTCTGATTTTCAATCAATGTTGCAGGATTAACAGAAACATGGTCAGTGTCTTAAAATATAAGTTATATTTTGGCTCGGAACAGAAAGACAAAAAGTGGCTCACCAGTTTTTTTGGGTTTTTTCACCCTTACCAAAATAGAACTTATATTTTAAGACGCTGACCATATATTCTCTACATTCTTGAGTCTGTCACTCGCCTTATTAAGGGACATACAATGACAGACCTCCTTAAGTATGTGACAACCCCCTATTACAAGTACAACAAAGTTTCCAAACATTACCACAGGCAGCGACAACAACAGAGAACATATGACAAATCCATAAACTTGTCATAGATCTCCTATTGCTGATGAGTATGTGGCGGATATATGTAATTGGATATATATATAAACACTATTTAGTAACAGGAGATGGATACGAGTTTTGTGGACCCTGAAGAAATGACAGAAACTTGCGATTTAAAGATGAAAATAGTTCAGTATGAATCATCTACATTCCGTTTAAGGTAAAGAACCCACAGAATCGACAGAAAGTTGTGAATTAAATACAAATTGTTTTCTAAATTTCGAAGGAAATTGAATTAATCGTTCTGTATGAATCATACATTCCATAAATAGATACAGGAATATTTTGTTTACCGGAAGTAAAATGATAATAACAAATAATTGAGTACTCTCATGTAAGCAGATGTTTCAATCGTTTCAAACTTGATAAATACTGCTTCTTTACGAAAAAAAATATCATACTTCATGTGAAAATTCCTATTATACATATTTTTTATTTATGCCACACCTGAGCGTTATACACCTGTACAAGGGAGACAATCATGATTACCGCCGATCTTATTAAGTCTGTTTACATTCTTGGTGTGATTTTTGGAAGGATCTTGGTTAGTTCTTTAAAGTTCCACATGAATGCTACTTACACATTGACAGAGCGGCCATAAACACCACTAAACCACACCAAACTCTGTCCTTGGCTGACATTTTTGATTTGTATTCCCTCTGCACCTGTGATATGAAACGCCATCTATCGGTATAACAACAAACTGTAAAGGTAAGGTGGAGACAACTCTGTTCAATGACCCACTATTCATTAAATATTAGTCCTCCTTTGCTTTCGCTACAGAAACTAATGTAAAATCAAGTAATGTTTCAACCATATGAACTGAGAGTAATATTTGGACTCTGATATTACGTCTACGTAGATTTTGACGTCGAAAAATGACACGCACACAAGGTTGTGACAAATGTTGTTTAGGAAACCAAATTGGCGAAAATTATATCCTTCAGTGAAAATACCACAGAAATGTTGAAGATCATTATCTATCCGAAATGTGATAACAAACTTCGAATTAATACAATACTATTAAGAAGTTGGTGTTGGTCGTAAGTAAAAATTTGCAGCTGGTACGATACATTGGTCTCAACAATAGCTAACATCTGAGTGAATTTTATTTACAATAACTATAGAAATGATGATAACAAGTGCTGTTCAACGGAGGAGACGCTTCAACTGAAATTAGAGTTATTGACAGGCTGTTCATGTCCCCTCCGTTGACAAATCCTATTTAGTCAGAGCAAGTAATCATATGAATATTGATACAAAACGAATTAAATAAAACCTTATTTTTTAAAATATCTTCATATTTATATAACGCACAGTGGAACATTCGGGAAATTCACTGTTTTATTGTCGGATTCCCAATGAAGCTTTGTTATCCTCTATGTTGTACTATCCTTATGTTATACAAAAGACCAGCAACAACCGTTCTCGAGTATAAATGTTGAGTATTAACACAAGTTTCAACAATGATAACATGTATGACCTGAGTATCGAGCTTAACAAGTTACTCCTTCCACGGCCACACCAGGACTGACTCTATTTGTTGTGATCTTACAGTTTATCCTAAAGTAATTGTAATCTAATTCTGATAGGGAAAGTGTCTTCTACGTATCTACAATTAAACCGTGAACAGTTAATGTCTCACTGGTGGAGAGCATGTCCAGCCAATGTTTCACGGCATGATTCTGACACTAAGGTGACCGCAATTAAACTATCTGTCTGATAAGCCAGCCGGTCACTTTAAGGTTTAACACAAATTATTTTCTGCACTTGAGTGACAAATTTCACTATTAACAAGCTTGATAATATTAAGTATTAGTATTAAGTATATTGAAATAATTTAAAGATAATTTGAAAATTATTAGGAATCAATATAAAAACATCAACATTGTAAGTTTATGGTTGGCGGAATACTTACCTATGCTTATCCGCTGTTGTCTATCAAAGTGCGTGTAATGATTTGGTAAATCCTTTCTCAAAAATACCAGATAAGTGCATTTTAAGACACGTTGCTTACCAACAATCAAGGATTCATTAATGCCAACAGAACACCGACAAATATTGGGACACGTAAGTGATAAATCTTTATTGAAACAAGCGCTCTTTTTTTAGCTTGGTACTTTATAAACGCTGTATTTTTCAATCTACACCAAGCCTTTCGTCTGATACTTGTCTTAATTTATTAACACTGTTTGTTTATTTTCAATCTACACCATGCCTTTCGTCTGATACTTGTCTAAATTTATTAGGGCTGTTTTACAAATCTACACCATGCCTTTCGTCTGATACTTGTCTTAATTTATTAAGGCTGTTTTATAAATCTGCACCATACCTTTCGTCTGATGATATATCCTTCTCATAATTCTTTGTACAAATCGAAACACAATTGACATTTTTGCAAAGAACTTGTAATCAGTTGAAACGAGCCAGCCATAACCTCTGTAAGACACTTGACTTTGATTGCTGTGAATGACATGCGACGGGCATCCACTATGTTGTTCAGTGGGGGTAACTACCAGCTACAAGTACGACAAAGAGACCTCACCTCAAAATGACCGGTTGTTCATGGGACGATACCCCCATCCCCTCCAAAAAAATGGGGGTTAAAGAAAAAAAAAACCCAAAAATCTTCCACAGTTTCATCGTCTTTTGATAATGCATACCGCAAATTACAATTTCCATTGGTCTGGTAATACTGAGTTGATCAAAATAAAATTATTCACAAAGCTTGTATCATATAATAATAGACAGTTAAGCTACCATCAGAACAATAACCGATTAAAAGCCAGAAAGGAGTTAGTTTCATTTGTCAGCCTTGGTGTAGTTTTTGTCCGGTGTGACATTTTCCTGACACTACGATGCTGTCAATACCATAGATCTGATAGTGAAATTTCCACTTGTTTAAGGGACGCGTTCAATCAAGTTATAGTGAAACCATCGTTAAAACTATGACAATGTACAAATCTTGATTTTTTTATTTTCAGATCAATATTTTCAACTTCTTAAATTATATACTGAAAAGGGAAGGGAAGATAACAAAATTATTTGTGGGAAATATTACCATTTTCAAGAGTTTAATTTCTAAAAAACATTAGGAAATATTAAACAATTTTTTTTCATGTATCGAATGTCTGCTATTGTCGTTTATGATTTTTTCGCCAAAATAGGTGTGCGATTGTTTACATAGTGACTCGTCCATTCACGCGGTACAATATGTCACTTAGAGATCTGAAAGTTAGTTATATGGGCTTCCATAGACCTACCATAAATCATTAATTTGAATTATAAGACCAACAGTCAAAAGTAAACACACCTTCCCATTTTAAATGAAATACGAAGATGTGGATTCGCATCGAAAATTTATGAGGCGTTACCTTATATAACGTTTTTATATGCTGACTCCACATTGGAATGTATGTTTAGCGTCCAAGTAGATTTTAAATTATTGAAAAAAAAAATTTCTAAAAAAAATCCCATCGGCGTTCAAGACCGTTAACATTTTTCAATAATTTTATATATCCTAATTCCTCCCTTGTTACGCACAAATCACGACAAAAGTTTTCTCACTCAACACACGTATTTCTTATGAAAACTCTTCAATATGGATGTTAACGTCACGTTCGTACGGAAGAAGATATTTAGGGTTCTTGAATTAAAAATCGGGAGCAAATTTTCCTTCGAAACTTATCAAACAAAACGATTACTAACCAACCTTCAGAATCGGCAATATACACCCTATTACATTATCAGTTTATCAGTGTCTGATTCGTTTAATAAATGTTATATTAATTTTGTAGTTCACTCCGAGGGATGTCAGGATGGAGGAGACTTTTACATATATCACAGGTACAAGTCAGGGTTTTCCGAAAGTTTAGTTGCATTTAAACGTTCGGAAAACAATGGAATTCGGGATCACTGATATTGTGTGTGTGTGTGTGTGTAAGAGGAGGGGGGGGGGGGCGGGGGGGGTTTACATCGGAGCGGAAGAATTGATATTTTATACACATTTTCTACTTTTATGATTATTTTCTCTACTCCTGCGTTTGAAATCAAAACACTGCATCAATTAAATTTAAAATGACTCACCTATATTGGTCAGGAACTGTTCTGATAAGATTGTCTCCCCTGGAACACGACACATCACTGATGCTCTCTCGGGCTGAAAGGGCTGAGAGAGCAACATGCTGGCTATGGTGTAGACGAGATGAGCCAAACTGGAGCCCAGACAACAGCAAGCAGTGATTGATCACCACTGCTGACCCGCCAACCAGAGGACGTCGTGGAATAGGGGTCGAAACGGCCGTTGATGGTTGGAATCCACCTGACGATGCTGACATCAGAAGGCTCCAGAGCTCCATGTCATCAGTGCCTAACCGAAGCAGCGGTTGGGTTTCCAGTAGCAGAGAAATCTGTAAGTTCACTTCGATGAAGGATTCGTTCCAAAATAAATCTAGACACAATTTAACAAAATTGTGAGATTAATTGAGGAGTTGAAATATGAGCATTAAATCTACATCCAAAGTAATTGCCAAGGTCATTCCGAATCCAAGGTTATTGCCAAGGTCATGCCAAATCCAAGGTCATTCTGAATCCAAGGTTATTGCCAAGGTCATTCCGAATCCAAGGTCATTCCGAATCCAAGGTTATTGCCAAGATCATTCCGAATCCAAGGTCATTCCGAATCCAAGGTTATTGCCAAGGTCATCCCGAATCCAAGGTCATTCCGAATCCAAGGTAATTCCGAATCCAAGGTTATTGCCAAGGTCATTCCGAATCCAAGGTAATTCCGAATCCAAGGTTATTGCCAAGGTCATTCCGAATCCAAGGTAATTCCGAATCTTAGGTTATCATCATGTGTCCAAGGTAATTCCTATTCCAAGTTCATCACCAAATATTCAAGGTATTTCTAACTCCAAGGTCATCACCATATATTCCAGGTAATCCCATATCCAAGGTCATCATCACACATTCAAGGTCATCATCACACATCCAATTTTAATCTAAATCCAGGGTCACATGGTTACCATTACACTTACACAGTGCTTTGCATTACGTGTGCATTCCAAGGTGATTGTACCACGTTCAAGGTCACCATTCCACATCATACATTCAAGGTCATCACACATCCAAGGTAATCATTTAATATCCTTCAAGTTCATCACACATATACTTATAAGGACATCATTTAACATCACATGTTCATTCCATTTAAAACTGATCCTACATACAAGTTCACGACACATCCCAGGTGAAACAGGAGCAGCACGGTTACATGTACACATCCGACCCATAGTTTAACAAACAGATGTCTGTAGCGGAACGGTTACACGTTATCTTCGTACACATATACACAGAGAGAAGATCGATATTCAGGGAAGACGATACAAAACGTAATTTTACTGTCTTTAATAACTTTTGGAAATCATATTCAATTACCAATCGTTTTATTTTTTTTTTAAATTTTTAATCTGCCTCGGAAAATTGATATTTATAGTTTAAAATTTTAAAATTTAATTCAAAACGTATTGTAATAGAAAAGACACTTAATCTACTCATTACTTCAAACAACTTTTTTTCAAATTTTCATCCATCTTTAGGCCCCATTTGTTTACATAAAGCGTGTGCACTGTTCTCACCTCGGGACTATAATGTATTTTTACTGTCTAAATATATGCAAGAGGATGTAACACCCTATGGCAAGTGTTATTCTAAGTGCAGATTGTGTTCGATCTGGCCTTAATGACGCGGCTCCGTTACAGTAGTCGGTGTAACAAAAACACTGTTTTACGTATCCGGAGTTTGCCGTTTTAACGTAACAACCTTCGTCTCTTTTGTATTGGGCAAACCGGACACAATACCGAGATATAGCTGTCGTGTCTGGAAGATGAGCAATGGAGATTATTAAACAAACATAATACACGCATTCAGACATCACACATCTTTTAAACTGAAGCAAAAAAAGGTTTAAGAAAGAAAAACACATTGGGAACAATCTGCTCCCAACATAATTAAGGGGGTATGCTATCTTTGCAAAGGTTGTCGTTCCTTTTGAAGTAAATGATATATTACGTGACGACCAGACAGGCATCAAGGGAAATAACTCTAAATGGTTCAATCATACCGTATACAATAAAAGTGAGCGCTGCTGTGTGACGGTTGTGTATGTTTTCTTATTATTATTTATCCCCATGTATATAGTATTTCTTAAACAATAAATAATATTTAAATTTAATTAATCCAACATTTTGCTTATGGCAAGTGAAAGTAAAATTCGCGCTAACAACAGGCCAGCTGCAACACATTCCTTAGAATGTGAATAAATTGATAAAATGATACTTACACGAATATCTATTCCACTGGTTGTGAAGGTAGGCTCTGACAAACGATTTAAAACATGCCGAGCAATTATGCATAACCCTCTCCTCACCACCACATAAATGTGTAGTTCCTTGTTTGAAAATATTACACTGGTAACAGGCAACACCATTCACTGTAAAAAAAAAACCGGAAGTTTCTGTCAAGACTCGGGGTATCAATGATCGGCCACTTCAGTAGCTTAGTCTATTTGAATTATTAAGAAATTTGATGTAAAAAATATTATTAATGCGATGACAATTGTCGTGACAAACGACACACAAGAGAACAGCATTTTTTTCAATACAAATTTAAAATATGATATAGTAGAGAAAATTTAAGAATTAAATAAAGCTGTCCTTCCAGGACTCCTCAGTGATGCTAAGGATCTAAATTTTGAAATTTAGGCGGTAAATGAAGAAAACGGAGATTGATCGAAGATAGTGTAAAATTTTGAAGGGGAAGTGCATTAGTCTCATTTTAGTCTGAAACACCTATTTCAGTTCATGGCCTTGATCGATCAAAAATACAGGGCTTTTGACGACATGTAACTAACCACTAAACATACATATGAAGGCGGGAAAACATCTATGTTTCGTTCATATTAGTTAAGAATTTTGATAGGTGTAAAAACACAGCTCAATGAAATTATCTTTCTGAAGTTACTGAAATAGAAAAAAAGAAGATTTCCTTGTTGGTCGAATCAAGCAGTCACGCGCCATACCTCTTTCGTATCAAGTGCATATTCTGCAACTATTAATATAAATAAAAAGGTGAAATGCAGGTTACGGCGAACCTCGATCAAAAAGTGTCTGTACAATAAAGATAACATCAATTTATTTCTCTACAGAATTTTATGCCTACCTCTGTTTAACATTCTCGTTTTGAGTTAATAATTTGAAAATAACTACTACCATCTGACATTCTGGATTAAATAACACGAAGATAACATGTATGTGTATTCAGATTAGGGTAGTAAATAAACTTCCTTAGGTGTGAATCATACAAGGCGATGTCGAATCTTATCGCTATACTATCTGACAAAGGGAAACAAAGGGAAATAACTCTGCGAATCACAATGAGAGATTTATCAGACGGCTGTCAGGTGTCTCGGAATCTGGTTTTGTCGGATGATTCATGGATAGACTGTACTTCTTTTTTTTTTTTAGTAATGTCGAATAATTCATGGAATGTAAGTGATTTTATCTCATATCTGTCTAGTGTCCTGAAAATATATCTGTAACAAATTCGTGTAATACATGGACTGATCACACTACTTATTAATGTCTGTCCAATGTCCGGAAAATCTGACTGTAACAATTTCTTGTGATCCACGAACTGATCGCTCTACTTATTCATGATTGTCCAGTGTCCTGAAAATTTGTCGGTGACAATTTCGTACAATGCATGGACTGATCGCGCTACTATTTTATGTCTGTCTTGCATCCCCCAGCTTTCAATTTTTTGTATTGTTTTTTTTTTCAGATAAAACAGAACAATCCGACAATTCTGGACTACTCGTTCTAACTTCCAATTTTTGTGACTAAGAAGGTGTGTTGTACTTCCACTTGCTCCACAACCATCATTCAGCATTAACACGCCTTTCAAATCCCAACGATTTACCTGTACTATAACAACAGAGCAACATATTCAATGACACGTAAGGGCGTCCTCAGGTGTTACCCCGCCATTGAGACAGATGCGCGTTCACGAACCTGTCCTTCCGCTGAAATGAATCACCTGATATCATCAAAAGTTTGTCTCGTCTTTATATCTATGACTACCAAGAAACAGATGAGGGATCATCAGGGCCCTTAGGGACCCTCTCAGCTTTGATTAACCTTGATGTCTCTAACATAGATGATGTGAATTCTCTCCTGACAGGTTTCATCATAGTACATTTTGTAAACACATTGTAAACACTTTGTACACACTTTCTGTTGTTACTATTTCACCGTTATCGTCCGTGTGTACTAATGTGAATTTTTATTCAGTAATGATAAATCGGTGTCTACAAAATAGATATTGATTTTTGTATTTTATTAGAAGTGACAAATATAAGGGGGGTTTCTTAAAAGAAATACACTGAGCGTTCTCAAATAAAACCCTTATCAGCAAGTAAGTGACAATATAAACACGAGTACACGTGTAGTTATTTTGTCAGATACTATTGTCATTTTGTCAGATACTATTGTCATTTTGTCAGATACTATTGTCATTTTGTCAGATACTATTGTCATTTTGTCAGATACTATTGTCATTTTGTCAGATACTATTGTCATTTTGTTAGATAATATTTTTTTGTCAGATACTATTGTCATTTTGTCATTGTCATTTTGTCAGATAATATTGTCATTTTGTCAAATACTATTGTCATTTTGTCAGATACTATTGTCATTTTGTCAGATATTTTTTTGTATTGTCAGATTGTATATCATTTTGTCATTTCATTTTGTTATTGTCATTTTGTCAAATACTATTTCATTTTGTCAGATACTATTGTCATTTTGTCATTGTCATTTTGTCATTGTCATTTTGTCAGATAATATTGTCATTTTGTCAAATACTATTGTCATTTTGTCAGATAATATTGTCATTTTGTCAGATACTATTGTCATTTTGTCAGATAATATTGTCATTTTGTCAAATAATATTGTCATTTTGGTGGACATTTTTGTCATCCGCTCACCTTTGCTTATATTTCAAAAAAACATTTTCATTTAATTCCGAAAAGTCTGGATTTTGAATCATGTGTAAATTCATAACAGAGAAATATTATACTTAATTATTCAGAAGTTATTGGAGAAATGCTGCCTTAAGTGGGCCAATTTATCGTCCCTCATATCTGCTTTGTGTTTCTTTCTTTTTTATTACGGACCAACGTTGATGAGATGAAAAGAGCTTCGCAACAAGTCCTGACCATCATATCCGATGTAGATAAATGTTACATAGATTGCATTGGTAGGGAGAGTCAGTACTTTGATTTTGATGGAATACAGCACTATATATAAGATCTGCATTAAAGGCAAAAAGATGAATTGAGTTGAGAAAGTGAAACTTATAAAAAGAGAGAAAAATCGATTTAATTTTTGTAAGGTTTAAACAGTACGTACATGCAATATAAAACATCACATCCGAGAGGTAAAATTCACATCTAAGGTCAAGGTCACATCTGAGGTCAAAGTCACGTCCGAGGTCAAAGAAATGTTTCATTTTTTCCAGATATCAAAACTTTAATTGACAAATAACTGATTATGGTTCCCTCGCCCCTCCTCAAAGTGAGTGAAGGAAGAGATGAGGGAGAAAACAGAATTTAGGAAGGTATGAATTAAGTCATCTGTTTAAGATGCGTGATTTGCTATGTCATTATTTTAATGAATGAATGTAACTTTCAAATATGTGACGTCAATACATGAAATTGACAACAGTAGATGTTAAAACTATTATATCACATATCATAAGCAATGGTATCTCCAATTTGTTTTCGACATGTTGGAACGTTGATGGTTACCATGGCAACAATCTGGTTAGTCATGGCGACTATGTTTCTTATGGGTTCCCCCCCCCCTTTTTTTTTAATAGAAAACGTTGACTTTAGAGGAATGCTGACATACATTTAAAACATAGTTTGGGTATACATTTACCATGTCCCTACCAGACATCTGATCAGCGGGCTAATAAAACTCTAAAGGATGACGTCATTTCTAGACGGGGCTAATTCTCATATTTGTTAGGTTGGTCAATATAAAAAGCCTGGTCGATACCCACCCATAAACAAGAAGTATGTTTGCTCACCAACATGGATTTGAGATAAGAGATTATTTACAATGCGTCACCACTGCGCGTGAGGTAAAACCCATACTGATTTTTTTTATTCGACTTTACTTACTATAGGAGAAAAAAAAGAACGATGAAAAAAGAAGGAAAATAATAAGAAGAAAAATTTTTTAAAAATATGAATGAACAAATCAAATGTTTTTCGGTTCCTTGTCACAGTGACACGTGTATGTTTTTTTAAATACGGGTGAGTGGCTAGAGAATTGATTTTAAAGGAGATACTTTCTGTAGGACGAACTATCCTATACCTGCGAGACTGAATATTTTTAAAGATTGAAAATCACAAACCGTGGGGAAATCTTCTGTTGAAATTGTTATACTTCAAATAAAACTCGAACCCAAGTGTAATATTTCAGGAGGAAGTTTATTTTCTAAGTGTAACATACTTTCATAGTCATTATAAATCTAAAGGGGGTTTTGAAGAGAAGACAGATTCGTGATAGGGAGCGAGCGTGTTGAGGAGGAAGTGTGGAAAAGAATGAAAGAAGGAGGGGCAATGAAAACTGAATGAAAAATACGGAGGAAACATGGAAAGAATTTGAAGGAGAAAGAAATTAGGCGGAAAGGAGAAGAGAAAAGCTGATGGTAGGGAAAAGGATTGGTGTAGGTGTGTTAGGGGTATTGCATAGGGAAGGTGAAGGCTGATAGGGTAGGAGGAGGAAGATATGATGTCGAAGAACAGAAATGGCGGAGGTGAGCAAAATTTGTAATGAACCTATTAAAATAGATTTGTTGTCTAGAGAAATGACAGATGTCTTCTTATACAATAATATCATAGTGATTTTGATTTGAAACTTAGATTTTAACAAAGCACTTTCTGAATACCATAAAACTCTTTTATCAAAATAGATCGATAATTGAATTTTCAAGTAAATAAAGCTGACGATGTGTACTATGTCATAATATAAGGTTTATTTTTTTGTAATTTTGTGTTGTTTGATCTTAAATCTCACTAAGAGATCTTATGAAAAGAAACGATTTAGAATTTTATGCGCCATTACCATTCAATAATTTATCACTGTACGCGGAAAATGAATCGTATGATTATAACGTTACGGGATTTTCCCGTCGTTTTTTTTCTTATTTTCTTTTTTATCAATTTGATGTACAATGATCAATTCTTACCTGTAACAATAGGAATAACAGCCACCATTAGCATCAGACAAACAAACGAGGTATCCATTGTTTTCATCGTCATCTGAAGCTTTAAACGCTGCTAGCAAGCGGGCACACCTTTACAGATAATCCATCTAGGCAACTGCGCATGTCCATACAAGATTTCCATTTTAAATTTTATGTCATTGACTTCGAGACGTCGTAAAAATTAGTTAAAAATACTTACAAATGTGCACATTGTGAATTATCTGTGCATTTAGATCGTGTTGATATGGGACTGAATACAGGAATAACTTATAGTTAATCTCACGTCTCAGGTAGATATGTATGTCGTTAGCTGTAAGTCGTTCAGATATGTAGAACCGCATTCTTTCTAATTTTGTCACACACCTATATCTTTGCTTTTATCAAACTTTTTATGCAAGATGTGCATATGATTTGATACATAACTACCCCTGTAGTAATTGATATCTAATTACAAAGGAAATGTATGTAGTGTAAAAAATTGCAGTTTTTTAACACAACTTATTTGTGTTCAACAGAACTTCATGTGAATTTCAAACATGTAAATTATGTTATGAAAACTTTAAATTAAAAAACATGAGATTAATTTTTCAAATTTTATCATTAAAGTCGTAAAACTTGTACTTTATATATAAAAAAACGTGTCATTTGTATATTTCAGTTCATGTATATAAATGAAGTATTTTTTTTCAATATATAGATATATATTTACATGTACAGTGTATTTAAGTTTTAGAATATAATTCGCAATTTACATACAAATTTAATGTTAGTAAATGAGAACCGCGTGATTTGAGGCAGAAATTGGAGGATATTGAAATACTTAAAGATTTTTAACGCCATGCTTTTTACACGTTTTTGCTGCAGTTTTCACTATAAATCCCCCGTTCTATCCACTATCTTGTCACGATGTTCCATGTCTACAAAGGTGACCTTACAGGGTCCGTACGATTGTAATTCTTTAGCGTTTATCACGTGTGTGGTCTAATTCTGACAGAACTAGGTCAGAGGCTAGACTGACCAGTGTACCAGTCTGAAATAGCGTAAAACAATAGATAGTGGTTAAAAAGATATAAATAAAACACAGAAATCCAACGTGGCTAAATTTATGAAATGAAATCGGAGGAAAACCAAGATTTTTATTCAAGGAGCAATGGCGGTCCAGCATTAATGAATTTTAAAATGACTCTTTCATGTGATATATTGTTTTCGGAAATTTAATAACTTGATATCAATATTAAAGTGATACATATTGATTCAGGAAGGCCGGGACAAGTTAATTAGAAAGGAAAATCGGAGAATAAGAATTGTAACAAATTACTGGTGGATATGATAACGAATGATTAGTTTCATTATAAACACGGTTTTCTTCAGCTAGATACATTTTAATAACGAACAGAGTAGGGAACGACATCTCTTGTGCTGTTACGGAGAGTAGGGACCGACAACTCTTGGAATTCTCTTGTTCTGTTACCGAAAGTAAGGGACGACAACTCTTGAATGTAGGGAACGACAACTCTTGAATTGTAAGCTAGAGTGTTGTGCTGTTAGCTGTAGTAGGGAACGACAACTCTTGTTATGTAAAGGAAAGTAGGGAACGGCAACTATCCCTGGCGGTTATTCTTGGCCTCTGGTTGTTCAAAAGAAATCAAAATCAGCCCTAACAAGGTCACGGACAGGCAGTTTCCTCCGCGGTCTTTTCTCTAGCCTGTGGGACCAACATGAATGATGAGACGGGTTAACATGCTTTTGGCCTTTCTCATAAAAAAAAACACACACACACACATAAAAAACAACCGTGCCCTGTCAAAGGTAATAAGTACTTCAGTATAGTCGCTTATGTGTAGTAAACGTAAAGATGAGGAATGATACGTCAACATTTTAACTATATAGAAGCTATTTCTAGTGAGAGGAGAGAACCGCCATTTTAAAATCCAGATGTTCGTATCAGTAATTCATGAAACCAAACGAAAACTTCGGTTCCAAGTCGTCCATACCCATCAACCATTCCCGAAAACGTGAAATAGTTCAGAAAAGAAAATTAAGTCACAGAAATACTACAAGATATACACTTCTAGATATCAGCTAATTAGTTTTGTTCCCCTCGGGATTGAAGCGCACGTGGGGGAAACCCGTGGCACCATGGGAAATCCCACGTAGTCGGACAAGTGCCCCCATACTTTTCAAGTCTGACCCGGTCGCCTAGCTGAAAAGAGAAAATGTGAAAGAGGCACCTATTTACCCAAAATCATCATGTTAAATCCAACATTACTGACCGAAAACGCTTTCGCGTTCATGGCACGTTAGGATTCTCAAAAACCACACATACACGAAACCTGGCACACACATTAACTATAGTCTTGGTACCAAGAGAATAAAGTACTGACAGGGCTACTCAAAGGATTTGTATTAAGGCCTACTATTTTCTTACTTTAATTAATGTTTCTTCAATAAATCAGCAATATTAACACATACAATAGATTTAGGATTGGGAAACAAAATTAAATCTTTTGTTTATTTTTTTTCTTCAAGTGTCATTTTACTACTTATCACAGACTCTTCACCAAGTTCACTGTAAAACATGATTTGTAAATCACAATCTTTTAATCAGCTCCACATTTCAAATGCAGACAGCCTAGAAATAAATTGTTGCATCTAATCATAGTGTTGAGCTTTTCTTTAAGCGAAACCAAAGATATTTCCCATCGATGGAATATTTTTAAAAATCCTGGAAACGATATCTTCATGTGTCAACCTTCCTACTTTTACAGTCGCTCTACAGCGGGATATCGACAAGGCAGAACACATGATACCATATAGAGGTGTTTTCAACGTAGGTGACGGACGTGACTTTCCATACAACACAAATCATGAAACTATGTTTATAGGCACATGAACTGTAACGTTTAAAACGGTTTAAATAATCCTATTTAAACAAATGTCTGGCACTTGTACCGCATATATTTGTGATTCCAACATGCCGCGCTACGCCACGAGAGAAAAAAAACTATTTATAATACTATTTACAACTCCTGATAACGCGATGTTAGAAAAAAATGAAAATCAATCATATTTTAGTAACGGCAACTTAAACAGCAGAAACGTCAAAATTCTCCCTAGTTAATATTGAACGACCTTAGGGTCGAGGTGAAAACAAATTTAACTTGTGACCTTGACAATAGGCCAAGGTAATAGATTTAACGAACTTCGAAGCACTTCATTCCAGATCAATATTGGCCTGAACCTTAGCTCATTTAGAAGTAGTTTAGTAGTTTAAAACAATATTGGCCCTTGTGACTTTTTTTTTACATTCTTGATTCATGTGACCCTAAGGTCATTCAATCCCAGCACACTGCTGGCAATAAGCCTATTGAGTCTCGTCGATATTCTAAACTGCTCTTTTAAAAGTCCATCCCCTCCCCACTCCTCCCAAAAAAAGGAAAAAGTAGAATAAAAATATATATGCTGGACAAAGTTTGCTAAAACAGTGACAACAATAAAACAGCTTTAATTGAAATATCTTTTATTTCCATGTATTATTATCATGTTATATTCTCAGTGTTAAATGGTGGATTCTCTATATACAATCAATACACTAGGTGGACAACATAATGCTAGACAAAAAATCAATTTATTGACTTGCATTAAAAAACCCTTAAAAGTAGGACGTTAAAGTTCATTTCTTTTACATGGTATTGATATTTTGTTCTAATAAATTATCCAAATCGCAGAATAACCTTTCTGATGTGTTATAATACATGTACTCCTTAAGAATACAAATTAAAATCAATTTGCATCATTAATCCCTTATTAAATTTTTAAAAAAATATCAAATAGGTAGTCATCATTAACGGACATGGAATTTTTTTTTAATATGAATTTAAAAAAATCTGATCATTTTGAATGATAATGATTGATGATTATACCACTAAAAATCTGTCATTTGACAATTTATCATTTTAAATTGTATAAAAATATATTCATGAAAACATTTTGCCACATACAAATATGTACAAGTATATATTGTTATTATCTCCCTTTAACTGTCTGGATTCCTGGCACAGTATGCCTATTTCATCTCTTTTTTTCAGGTTATTTACAGCTTCCTGATAACACAAACAATTCATCAATCCATAAATGTTCTCACATTATTATTGTTTTTCTTCTTTAAATCTGATTTGTTTGAAAGTATTTTTGAATTTGTACATAAAGATAAATGTTGCCGACTGATTATTAGAAAAGCTCTGTTCTAACCTTGAAACAGGCATATCCAAATTAATATCTCTCAGTAGTCGACAGAAAAAATTGGTTGGTCACCATAATCTTGGAAAAGAGTTAGAATTTACTTGCAAAGTGTAGAATGGCATAAAATGATTATATTACCTACATATATATACATTGAATGGACCATACAAAAACTGTACAAAACTGGGTATATATACAGATGAATGATAAGTTATATACATAACCATTTAGAGGTATGAATGGAATGCATCGGAAAATGCATCACATCTATTGAATTGTTCACAGCAGTGGCTGGCAGTTGTTTTAACAGAAGAAAAATTAAACTCTTTAAAAAACGGTTCAACATTTATATTTCAACTACAATTTAAGTTTTCTCCTTAAACTAAACTTAAAATTCTCCATTTTGACCAAAATTTAGATAATTACTAAAAATAATAAAAATGGGTATTTTTTGTATCCCTCCGCTCTATGACCCACTGTGTAGAAACATTTCAAAAGTGTAAGAACATTTGCATAGAATCAGATATTTACATTTAAAAACTGGACAATTACTGAGTTTGATATTAAGTCTCCTAATCATTATAAAACATATTTGCACACATTCTTCTTTCATGGAAGACACTAAACATTCACACATCTTTCATACCTCCCGTCTAATTTGAAAATAAACTTTACATATTAAGGTGAATAATTTCATTTTTACAAAATTTTTAGTTTCCAAAATACATAAAAGATAATTTCCTTAATATTTGACCTGAAAAATAAACATGGATCAATGAGTGTTAACTTTGTTTAAAAGAATTTTGATATGAATACTGTCACTAGTACAGCAACGATGGACACTGGCAGGAATCGGACAGAGAGCCCATGTGCAGTGTTACAGCCGTTCCAATCATTACAGAAGCAGTATTGAATATTGGGATCCTCTACAGTCAGTGGACTGCTGCCCGAATTTTTCCTTGCAGGAAGGCAGTAACCGTGACGACGCAGACCCGGCATCTGAAGTCTGTGTTTAGTCGTCTTCAGAAGATTATTTTCGCATTCTCTGATGATGGTGTGGTCAGCTGCAAAAATATACAAGAATCAGAAAATCTTAATTGGTGATCAAATGTAAACTGGTATTATAAAGCTACTGAACAGAATCAATACCTGATTGTCATAAAAAAATGTTTCAAACATTTTTAATTACACAATATATTATACATATAGTCAACATATTCAAGCACTGTATTTCTCTGAAACAAGCTCAAGGGACCAACATAACTTAATGTTGAATGGGGGAGGGGTGGGGGTAGGTTGGATGGGGGGTGGGGTAGGGCTTACTCCAGGACATTGAAAAAATTGTAATTCTACTAAGCAGAAATATGAGTGGGCTTATTACCAGACATGGGGCTATTGTCAGATAAATATAGAATAAAGTGTTCTTTTGTATGTTATTAACTAAATAGATGTACTTAGGAATATTCAATATGTTCACTTGTCTATGTCAAGCAAAAAATTCCATCTTATACAGAAACGTTTCCAATAAGGACCCATCTTAACTACACAATGTCATATCATTTAGGGTAGATCTTAAATTCACTAATTTCAACCATTTATCCAGAAAGTATATATACATATTTGAAACTTGCACAAATAATTTAATTAGGAAATAAGTATAATGATATTATTCAAATAAACTTACATCCAACTTTCTCGATTACTTTGACACAGAATCGCGAGTCACCACAATCTTTCCAAGGAAACATCCACCAGCTTAGGTCATCTCCACAGCCTCCCATAGCACTGTAACAGCGGTGACACATAATGGCTTCCGCTGGAACGAAAACATAAATGATTCAAAACATGTCTTGAGAATCAAACCCTGGACTTTTAGGTGAAAGGTGAGAATAACCCTTCAATAGGTAAGAAAAGAATCTCAGTATGTTGCTACACAGTAGACAATGGTAGGTAAGATAGTATAACAGGGCTCTCACACCCCATTTTGGGACTGGGGCCCGGAGCCCTTAGAATTGGGAAAAATAGCTGTGTTTTCCTTAGAATTGGGAAAACTTGGGGTCTAAATTGGGAAAAAAGATACTTTTTTGCATTGGGAATGGGGCA